TGTAACACACAGAATAAAAAAAGAATACAAACTGGCATAAAACCAAAAAGTTTCAAAAAAAGAAACCTCCGTTTCTGACTATAAATGCACACGAATTTATGTTTGAAATCTTACTGAAATGTAAGTAGATGTTTCCCATTATCTAAAAGTTGAAAATTTTGAAAATTATGTTTCTATAGATTTAACTACTAAAAATAATAATAAATGATTTGGAGTTAATTTGAAATCAATAGAATTAGTCAAGTGAGTTGCCAAATAGTTTTATACATTTTCCTTACCTCATAGGTACTGATTCCTAAAGAAGGTTACTTTCGAAATTCAACATTGAATTTCTGTAGCAAACTCAAATCTATGAATGGAGAGACGCAAAATGCAACTAAATATATCACAGATATTCCTGGACGTACTGTATACAGGGTGACCCAGAATGGGTGAATCAAATTGTTAGGGGAGGTAGCTCTACTAATGTACTATCCCTAAAAAATATGAAAAAAAAATTTGAGTTCGGTTTTTTTTTTAATAAAGTACTTACTCTAAAACTCGAAATCTAGTCATTATTTTCAAAAGTTTGTGTACAGAACAGATAAACGAAGCGATCATGTACAATTAATATTAGTAAGAAAAAAGTACAAATAAACTCCAAACGCAGCAATTATAGCCAGATACTTAGGCAAAGCTGATTTATTTTCACTTTTTAAAAAAAAAATTTTTTTTTCCTTATGCGCTTTATTTTTTTTTCATTACTTTTTAGGGATAGTACATAAGCAGTTTGATTCACCCATTATGGGACACCCTGTATAGGACAAAAGAGCTTCAGTTAGTACACACACAGACCTCTCAAACATAAAATACAAAGTGCATTCTAAAATGATAAATCTCTCCAGCGAGATGCAAATTTTATAGCGCAAAACAATACATGAGAGTAATAGAAAACGGACAATGTTCGTTTATGCCATTCTTATGTTCTTTTTACGAGCAACTGCTTTTATAATGCATTGGGACAAACTAAAAAGTTAATGTGGACTGTGGAGAACTGAAACAAGGACATATATTTACTTACGCCCTTTTTCATCTAAATTAAACAGATCTGTCTTTCACACTCAATGAAATCGATATTTGGTAATAAGAGTGAAAAATAAATTGTTAGCATTATAATCTAACGCGAAAATACCACCCACTTACCTAAAAAGGATAAAGATCTATCGAAATATTGAGAAAAACAATCTTGATTTTTTTTATTTTACAGCTTAGTAACGTAAAATTATTAACGAATTAGCAAAAAAAATGTTTCTAAACCAAAATATTTGCTCCTTGACGTTTAAAAAAATTGACAGATACTCGCTTGTTTTATGGCCCAACTGGCCAGCACTTGAAGCCACAAAGAAGAGTATCTTTTAAGTGTTAGGGGCCATTGTTTCCTCTAATGTCCTCTTGCACTTTAAAATGGCTGACTCCCTTTAGAAAATTTTTTTTTTTCAATGGATTAGACGAACATTCTTGATGAGTGTACAGGGGACAGAAAATAAAATATCAAGTTAAATAGTATGGTACTTAGGTATGTCATAGTGATAGGTAAGGTTGGGTTTTCTAAAAAAAATCTAATATAGTCTGATATTGTGTGTTATGTACATCGATGTGTATTATATCTTAACAGTAGGCATTTTCATAGTAATAGTACCTACTGAAATAACATGTTTGAAACCACCAAATTCTTTTCAAGAAACTCTACGTCTACAACGCTCTAGCTCTAATATCTAGATTATTTTATATATTTTTAAATATTGTTGATGAGTGATAAGTGATATAAAATCCAATTGAACCAAATAACAAATAAATACATAAATGTGAAAACCCAAGTAAATAAATAAATAAATATCCTTGGACATTTTTAACACTGCGCCGCTAGCCCTAAACTGTGCCCAAACTTAGTTTAAAAACTGTTTAACTAATATTTCAATTAACAGTTAGATACAGCTTATTTCGTGGCCCCAACCCTCGAGACTACAAAGCAAAGTGTCTCTAAAGAGTCATATTCCTATTGTTTCCAAATAATCCCCTTTTGATTGCACAAAGTTTATTTTTTTGTATTACTTAAAAATAATAACTATGCTTCAAATATCAGAAGGATAATAACTTAGTATGGTATCACGGAAGGAAAAGAAACGTAAACTGGGATAAAAACTACACTAAGTTTTTCCTTGGGTCACAAACAATATCTCTTTCTCTTTTACCTTTAAGCAAATTAAAGTTTAAGCGTGAAAAAGTTACAAACATCCACCTTTCTCACAAACTTTCACAATTATAATTTTAACAAGACGATAGACTCAGTTTCTTGAGCTGCTTCTTCACAGCACTGGCCCATTTATTGATCCGAAGTAGTGGTAGGGTTAAAGTAACACTAGGACATGTAGAAGCGCTTTTTAAGGCCTGGTTGGCATCTCCAGATACATTTTCAATTATTTGTTTTGATGTGACAGGACGCAAGCGAGTAGACGGATCACCTGATGGTAAGTGATTACCGTCGCCCATAGACACCCGCAGTCAGGTGCGTTGCCGGCCGTTAAGGTGAAAATTCTCCTACGTAATCGCACGTATACCACCACAGAGCTCCGCCCATGAGAACTACCCAAAAACCCTTAGTTAGCGCACGTGTTTGGACAAGGAGTAATTACAGAAAACAAATGACTGTATTACTTTTTAGACATCCGTGGGCTGAGTGCGAGTTTACACTAAACGCGCTCACTAGTGAGAGCGTTTAAAAAATGTATGAAAATTTTAGTTTTTGAACGTTTCCCGCTAGGGGCGCTGTACTATCCGTCATACATTTAATGTCATTTTTTGACGCGCGTTTAATAAAATAATAAAAACTCACACTAGGCCCTCCGCTTGTTTCGTGGCCCTACCAGAGAGCTCTTGCACCGCAAAGTAGAGGGCGCTGAAGTGGCCTGTCTCTATTGTTACCGTATAATCTCCTCTTCCCTGCTCTATGGCGTCTTGCCATCAGATCTTACCAAATTGGTTGGTTTTCTTTGACATTCATAAGATGGACGATTAGACGGGGTGCGAATGGAAATTAAGGAAGTCATGAATGTTTAAAACAAGTAAAAAAAGTTCCTAAAACTTTGTAATTCTAACTTCAGACCCTATCCTTAATTATGTGCTCAGCTGTTTTATAGCATATCAAATCAAATCAAATCAAATCAAATCAAATTCGTTTATTTGTGGAACATAGGTAAATAACATATTACAGGTGTTAAAAATTAAGTCGGTATCACTATGTACGCAATGGATTTTATGTACATTTGGAGAAAAAAATAAGCGTCCAATTCAAATCAAGGTTTTAATTTGTGTACAGTTGGTTTAGATGTAAGAAGTTTTCAATTATGATCATGCAATAGATATACGCCCGTATTCACAAACAATGCTTGCTTAAGTGAAGCAGCAAATCGAAGCACAGCGTTGAATATAGCTCTGTGATTGGTTCGTGTGTCACCCTGTGCGTTCACGTTCACTGTGAAACCTCATAGTAATGTGAATACGGGCGGTAATTACTATCGTCAATAGAAGTAATATCATCGCACTTACCTTCTGCAGTCCACCAGCACCAGGTCTGCCCTTGAAGATAGAAGATGAGATAGAGCGGGTTTGATCAAAAGCACGTAAATGTATAGGTCACTTCACTCACTTAAAAAAATACACTCATTCAAGAAAAATTCGTCACACTTCACTCGTCACTGTGACATCCGAAACGAGTCACTTCAATTCGTAGACTAGTAGAAAACAGCTGATGAAGTGAGGAGGTGCAAAAAAGAAAAAATAGAAATACCCTCATATGCATGAATAGTACTATTCGTGATTGAAATTAAAATACAGCATGATGTTATTAAAAATCTTTATTCTTAATTTTATGGCATGAACAAACTTTACATTGTAAAAACATTTTTACTTACAAATAAAAAGTATTTTATAATAATAATGCCGGCACACTTTTACGAATATTTGCATGATTGAACCAAAGCAAAATCACTGTTATTTGCAGAATAAATAAAGTTTATTTTCCTTTAGCCAGACTACAAATTTTAATATTTGAACGAATAACGTAAAATGAAGTGGTTGATAATATTTGGGGCTCGGTTATGATTTTTAAACATTAGGCCTCATTTTTAGGCTAAAAAAAACCTCATGTAGTCTCTTAAAAAATACTAGAGAATACAAAAAACTTTTAACTGAGATCAGTTTTCTTTTATTATATTGAGTTTTCAAGCTTTTTTTTTGTAATGGTTATGTTACTTGAATTTTAACACATTTAAACCAAACTTACTGAATATTGGCCTATTGTCAATTTGTCACAGTCGACTCGTCACAAAAAGATGTGTTGATAAATTCGTCACAATTTTTTTAACGTGTCGTTTTTTACGTTAACGACAATTTAACATCAATTTACTTCAAAATTACAAAGTTGTGACGAATTTACTTTGTCGCATTTGACAATAACTCTAAATGTGTATTTGTATTTTCAAATACTCTTTTGGAATCTACTGACCTTTTTTCTTATAATAACATTGATTGGAACTAATAATGTTCTCCAAACTTAATATTTTATTTACTACACACTAATCGAAATCACAATACGTAGAAATAATTGATTCTCATTCCAATAATTGATTTATTTACAACATTTGTTATTATTTAATAACAACATTTCCAAAGAACAATTCAAGCAAGGCATTCGTAGGAGTTTTTTTTATATTTAAAAACACATTATTTTACATAGATTATAATATCTAGGAAAATTTTAAATATAGTATTCAGTCTTAGTTACACATAAAATACTATATTTGACAACATACCTACACCCTAATACTATTTTATTAAAAAAAATTAAAGTACTAAAAAAATAATTAAACAATATTTAAATGTAACAAAAAACACTCGTTTCACTTAAAATATTTGATTTGATTTTCTTTGACTTTCATTCTTAAAGCTTGAATTTTAGGCTCGTTAATATCATTGTAATTAAAGCCTTCAAAAATAATTAAAAATAATACTTAAATGTCAAGATGTCTGAAAAGAATTTAGTTTTAGTCAAAATATAAAATTAAACTAGATAATAAGACTAAAAAATAGAAAAGTAATTGACTAATTAATTTTATTGTAAGCTACATTTCTTTTAAAAACAGTAAAACAGCACACTTAGTTTATACAATTTTCAATAATCTATCAATGTATTTTACTAAAAACTATTTTTAAACTAAAAACTGCTAAACGTGAGTACCGTTAGTTATTTGGGATCCGTTACCTGAAAACAATAACGACTTGGTTATAATTAATTTTAAAAATATTTGACACTTTAGCTTACTTGTATATTAGGCGTAAATACCCATATTTTTGATATAGGTTGTGTTTTAAAAAGTCTACTGACCGAATCAACGAAATTTACGGCTTGTAGTGAAACAAACATAGCAAATAAACAAAACTGAGCAAGCTTTTCATAGTACATTTAAATCATTGTTTTTATGACTTAATTCACGGAACTTTTGCCCGGTCAAACATCAGTGTTTGAGTAAATATTAACTTTGTTTTAATCAACAAATCTGATAATTTTGTATAGCAACATCAGTTTAATCACTAGCTGCATAAATAAATAAATAATTTTGAATGTTTGAACTATTTTTTGAGCTGCTGATAAAGTCCCTGATAGATTAATGGTAATTTATCTGTAAGTGAAACTATACTCATAATGTCTCAGAAAGAGGACAGATAGGTAGATGCCAGATGGCAGAAAATGTCTTATTATTAAATTTTATTCTGTGAACTATCTAAAACTTTATCCGAAACCGATGATACAGGCTTTAATAATTTTACCAACCTTTGGGTGTGATTTGATTAGCAGGCGAGTTGCCTTGACTGGACGGAGGCAGAATATACAAGGCTCCTGAGGTCTGGGGGGATGATTTAGGCACCTACAAAAAATAATTAAAATAAAAACTTCAAGTTTGCAATACAGAAATACAATCATTCATCATCATCAGAAGGTGGATGGACGACATCATTAAAGTACTTGTAGCAGGAGGGCGCTGAACCCAAGCCGCTACCAACCGATCAACATGGAAATCATTAGGGGAGGCCTATGTTCAGCACTGGACGTCCTGTGGCTGAAATGATGATAATGACGATGATGATGATAATCAGGTCATTAAGTCTATACTGCAGGAGTACGACCCTCTTTAATCTAACAGAGGAAAATTGAGGATTTGGCCTAGTCCCTACAATAGCCAGACGGTTTAGGGAGGCTTGATGGTCACGTTATCTGAGGGCTTAGTGTGAGTTTACATCAAACGTACTCACTCACTAGTGAGTGCGAAAAAAAAGTAATTCAATGTAGGTATGACGGATTGTACAGCGCCCCTAGCAGAAACATTCAAGAATTAAAATTTTCATTTTTTTAACGCCCTCACTAGTGAGGACGTTTAATGTAAACTTTGGTCGCCTGTTACGACATTTACGGAAAAAATATTTTTTAGATTTTCTTCTTATATTTTCTTATCTATTACTTACTTGAGGCTGAGCGCCACTGGTAGAAGTTGATGATGAAGAAGCTAGAGGACTCGTCATTGGTCGCAGGGAAGAAGATGATGATGGTGATGAGCCTGATAATAAGAAGTTATTTTCCTTTAAAATCATTCAAATTCTCGAGATGTTTTTGTAAAGGCCTAAATCCACATGGGAAAATCCTCGCAAAAAAACTATAATAATTTAATAAAATATTATTAGTATAATTGTTAAACGAAACAAAACCACGGCTAATTACACATTCAATTTGAAACAGATCGGATTAAATCAACATAGCAATAAATTAATGCTAATTTTAAACTAAACCTAAATGATTTTATCAAAACGGTCAACTACCTAGGGACATACTAGGATTAATAACTTGCTTAATTAACTATTCATTAACAGTATAGCAAATTCCCATCGAAGTTAAAATCAAATTTTGTGATCATCAGACCATAAGTTTGCAAATCGGCTTAAAACTACTACATTATGTTAAAACTACCCATCATTGAAATTTCTAAAAGCTATTTTGTGATTTCTAAAAGCTGTATTCCTCTATGTGAAACTACTTTTTAAATCGGTTATTGTCAATTTGCCACAAAGTTGACTCGTCACGTATGTCTAAATTCGTCACACTTCATAAAATATATTTTGCGCTAAAAATTGGAGACTTAATCTCTCCGAATTATTTACTTTTCATGTTTAAAAACTTATGACGAACTTACTTTCAATGTATGAAATTTATGAGAGTGTGACGTATCGACTTTGTGACGAATTTACTCTTGCCAAAATGTATAAGACTTACCTTCCACCATCCCTGATAGGTGAAGACTGGAGTTCCTTATAGAGTAATAAGGTGGAGGGGCTGGTTTGGACGTTGGATTTGTGTTTGCTTGTTGTATGTACGCTGAAAAAAAGTATTAAATTAATCATCGCGAAAAGTATTGTTAGCCACAATAGAAAGTCGCAATTTGTACTACAAATAAACCCTTAACTATATCGTCTATAGTCATCATTTCAGTCATAGGACGTCCACTGCTGAACATTGGCCTCCCCCAATGATTTCTATAATAGCCGGTTGGTAGCGGCCTGCATCCAGCGCCTTCCTGCTACCTTTATGAGGTCGTCGGTCCACCTTGTGGGTGGACGTCCTACGCTGCGCTTTCCAATACGTGTATCTACTTAACTTAAACGATACGATACAAATAAACCACAAGTTACTTATTACGCCTTCCTATCAATTGCGTGACATTAAGCTTAAATAATGAATAAATACTCTGTTCTAGGGATGTTATGGATATGTAGTTTCGGTTATGGATACGGTTACGGATATAGGAATAATATTATACCGGTTTCGGTTACGGTGACGGATATCTGTTCTTTGGAATGCAATTTGCAATATTTGTCAAACACGGTTCATTCATGGCCCGACGCTTTACTTCTATGTACTTATTAAAAAAAATAAAAATGGATACTAGATGGCATTATAAAGGTAAATCAGGCTGTTATGCCTTTACATTATAATGCTATACAAAAAATAATTTAAACTGCCTACATCCCAGATTTCGGATATCCGAAAGTTTCGGTTACGGTTACGGATATCCATAACATCCCTGCTCTGTTCTGTTCTAGGTACAAATACGATAACATACGACAACACATCAGATTACCCATTTTTGTTGCAAACTCGGATTTATTACCACTACACAAGTTCCACGTAGTTTAGTTTTCCATGCCGTAGTCTGTATAAGGGTAATTAAAAACTTTAAATTGTTTAAAATATCTAACTAGAACTCGAGTAAAATTATTATAATTGTGTTTCTTACTTTCCAAAGAATGTTTAAAATGTTCGTAGACATGAGCTGACCTAGATTCATATCTGTAATTAACTTTCCAGTTCTACCTAGTTGGTTTACTAAATACGGTGGTTTTATACACGATAACTATGGTGGTAGTGACTGTGTAGAATAGTCATGGAAAATGATGAGTTGCCAAGTAAGGATCATTACTGATTAGTTTCGTTGCGGGTCCAACAGTTTAACTTTCCCCCGGGACAAACTTGAACTTCATTGGTTGGATTTTTATGGCGGTCAAGCTGTAGATCCTGGCTACACAGGAGTTGCAGCCGTGGGAATATGCCCAAAATAAGGATCATAGGATTAAAATACATACAGAATTAAGTTCAAAATCAGAATTACTAAAGATATAGTTGCTCAGAAGTAACAGAAAAAATACAGTGAGAAAAACACACCCAGGTACAGTGTGCCCTTTACCCGATCGTGAGTACACCTGGGAGGAACCATAGTAAATGACGAGTTTGAGTCCTATTGCTCTCAGCATAAAGCTTATAGCAAACTTATCAACTCGAAGAGGGATCAACACCGTATCCCTTTTGCGAGCTGTCATCGCCTTTCGCGCACTGTCAACCGCGAGACGAGGCGTTTGCAGTAGGTAGAAGAATACTGACGGCCTCGGGTTGACACGGTTACGGTCCCTTTCTAGGTTGATAAATATGCTATGTCCTTAAGTCCTAATAGAAAGCGTAGTTTATTCTAAGATAAGTAAAGGTATATCATATTTTACTTACACATAGGGCCACTCCCTCTCAAGTACGGGTTTCCGTAGGTGGCTGCGTATCTGACGTCAACGCCACCAGTGAACGCCACTCCAGGGTTGGTCATTGGTATGACTATATAAAAATTCATTAGGTGAGTACAAAAAACATGATCAAGCAAAGTAAGCTTAAATATCATCACCATCTAGTTTTTTTTTTTTGCAAAACAAGGCACAATCGCTCCTGGTGTTAAGTGGGATGCAGGCTAGGATGGTATATATCTGCCCTGTAAGTGCCTTTTCACTCTCGCCTTGAAATGACCCAGATTATAGTCTTCGGGAAAGACAGCAGCGAATTCCAGTTCCTAGTTGTTCGCATTATTCCACACACAACTATCTCTAATTTACCAGAGGCAAATGAAGGATTTGACCTACACTCCCCACGTTGCATAGAGAAGTTCCGGCAGAATATAAATAGCACCACCCCCTTCTTCCCGTAAAAGTCGTACAAGGTGACTAAGAAAGAATTATACAAACTTCAGGCCACCCCAACCCGTGTGGCCAGCGTGGGAAGTGTAGGTCAAATCCTCCGTATGACTTAATGTCTGAGCTAAACAGCATCACCCTCACAGTGCATCAGTGACCAGGAGAACCCGCAGTAAAACCCAAGTAAGACCTTTCCATACCATTTGCTCTTAATTGATTGTGCTCGTATTTTATATTTCTCTATAGCCCGTTTTGCAGCGATATTTTACGTAAAGTCTTTAGAATTTTCAGTCCACTCAAGGTAACATACCCTAAGGCCTCAGCCTGGAGTTTAGCGNCCTTCATTGGTTGGGTTTTTATGGCGGTCATGCTGTAGATCTTGGCTACACAGGAGTTGCAGCTATGGGAATAGTCCCGGATTGAAAGTAAGGATCATAGGATTAAAATACATTCAGAATTAAGTTCATAATCAGAATTACTGAAGATATACGAGTATAAGTTGCTCAGAAGTAACAGAAAAAATAGTGAGAAAAAACTCGTTCTTTTCACTGCTGAACAAAGGCCTCTCCTAAGGGTTTCCACAACGACCGGTCCTGCGCAGACCACATTCAGGTGCTTACTGTACCCTTTACCAGATCGTGGGTACACTTGAGATGCCTGCTGATACTTCATTCTGGTCCATACCTAACAATATACAGGGTGGAATTTTGTAATGCCACCTGAAGGGCAAGTACTCTTTCTTTTCAAAAATAATGGAATGTTTTCTATCTACAGTATTAACACTAGAAGTGCCGAAGATTACGACCCCCCTAAAAGCGCCGCTGGGTCAATTTTGTCCCAGCATATATTTTGTAACATTTTTAAGTTTCAGGCATGAACATTATGGTTAAAACTATTTGTAGTATCCTTAAAAAATGGTTTANGCCCCGCTCCAGCGCCGCCGCCGCTCCCGCCCCGCTGCCCGCTAAACTCGAGGCTGAGGCCTAACACTTGCCACAAAGTCGATTTATCACGAAAAAAGCATGTGTAAATTCGTCACACTTGTGTTATCTTCTAACAAATTAAATATTATGAAGTATTGACATCTACTTTATCATGCTTATGACGAATTTACTTTTAATGTCAAAAACCTACAAAAGTGTGACGAATCGACTTTATGGCAAATTCACAATAACCCAGTGGCTTCGTTGGAGACAGTCGTGTTCCTGCAGTGGAATCTAAATGACCTGATGATGACTGACACCCGTATTCACAAACGATGCTTGCTTAAGTGAAGCAGCAATTCGAACGCCCAGCGTTGATTAGAGCTCTGTGATTGGTTCGTGTGTGACTGCGTCCACGCGCACTGTGAGACCTCATAGTAATGTTTGTGAATACGGGCATAAATTAGCACTATTTACTTACCATCAGGTCCAACCCCTGCCAGTCTGCCACAGCTAGTCTGCCGATGCAGAGATCCACAGTGACTTGGGTAAGTAGACCCATCAGTGCTCCTCGACAGTGACCCAGTGAGCGAGTCACTGGAGGGCAGAGGAGGGGCGTAGTCACGGCTGTAGTCCACGTAAGGGACGTAGCCGTTACTCTGGCCTTGAGCCTAGGGAGGAATAGAATAGGGGTTAAAGAGGTAACCTTAAAATTTAAATTACCCTTACACATGCTTAAGGACGCTGGACGCAGGCCGCTATCAACTGGGCAACATGGAAAGCATTAGGGGAGGCCTGTGTTCAGCAGTGGACGTCCTATGACTGAGATGATGATGATGATGCTAAAGGATAGGATACCGCTAGTCAATGGAAAAAAATCTTGAACATCGTATACTGTACCATCTAGTCTACCTAGTTCAGTTTTATGGTACATGATGGTACATACTGGGTAACCATAGAGTTTGTGCGAAAATACCTAAATACCCATGCTTAGAGTAACTTGTAGGAAGTCTTGCACAAATGAGCTGATCGAATGACATGTGCTTTCGAGTGCACAAGGTCTAAGTATAACGATAAAGATCCTACTAAGTATTGAAGATGGTGGAGATTGAATTTCTTAGTTACTAAAATTTTTCTGGCGTTAAGAGTCGCCTCTCGATCCAAATATTTTTAAAACATTAGGCAGTTCGATTTTTTCAAGTTACTTCAAAAATATAAAAAGATATCAAATACTACAGTTTCGACCTCCAAAGAAAATTAGGTCTGAAGATATGTCTGCAAAAAATACTATTGCTAAATTGTTGAAAAAAGTATTTCAGTGATCGAACAAAACGATAATTGAATCGAACGATAACAACGAAATACATTATTCATGTCATCGAGGGATCTCCAAAAAAAGAAGTTAATAATCTAGGTTTATTTATTCTGTGTCTACGAGTAACTATGCCTACTAACGAATACATCTATAACAAAGATGAAGAGTTTGTATGTTTGGTTTAATACCCTTATCTAAGGAACTACGAGTCCGAATTGAAAACATATTTTTGTATTTGATTGTCTATATCGCCCCGGCTTCGCACGGGTGTTATATATTCTAGGTACAAACCTTCCTCTTGAATCACTCTATCTATTGCTGAAAACCACATTAAAATCCTTTGCGTAGTTTAAAAGATCTAAGCGCACAGACAGCGGGAGTGACTTTGCAAAGATATCATCATCATCACTATCATCATTTCAGCCACAGGACGTCCACTGCTGAACATAGGCCTCCCCCAATGATTTCCATGTTGATCGATTGGTAGCGTCTGCGTCCAGCGCCTTTCTGCTACCTTTTTATGACCTGACCTTTATAACATTACCACAGTATAATAATTACTATAACATCACGCTACGACCAATAGATGCAGAGCATCAAATAAAAAATTAAATGTAGTAACGGAAAAAAAAATTCAAACTATTTTCACGCGTACGAAGTCGCGGGCACAGCTAGTAGTTGTGATATCAAATGAAACCCTTGTAGTTTTAGTTAGCTGTCCTATCTGTAACAAAGGATCTTTGACGAGCTCAAGTATTTTTTTTACATAAAATAAAAATCTAACTTTAGTAGACACTCATCAGTTGGAACAAACACATTTTCTTTCTTTTTTTTATAAATAAATATCTTTGGACATTTTATTTCTTTCTTTCTTTCTTTATTAAAGTAGGTACCTACATTCTATTGTGACACAGATTGGGACAATCTAATTATAGTCAAGTTTCTGAAAAGTCAAGTGTCAATAAAACTAATAACCCAATATTGCATAGCTGTTTAGTGTTATTATTATTATTAATAATATTTAAGAATTAATTACAATTAATTAATTTAGAATCTTAAACTTACAGTTATATCACCATCTCAACAAAATACCTAGTCGCCCCCAATAGTTTATTAGTTTTATTTTACAAATCCTGTCACTCATCTTGACTAATTCTAAAGAAAAGCCTTTACATAGAAAATTCAAGCCAAAAGAAACACTTTGCTCATAAATCTCAAAGATAACTGTATTTTCACAAGAAGGCTCGAAGATGGGAAAAATGCAATGCATACATCAGTATTTCTCTTGAGATTACACTAGTAAAGGCGCATATCCACTAGGAGCACGCAAACGAGCAACATAAATAAAATTGACGTTTTTTAAACTTACTCGGTTGCAATCAAGTAAAATCTGCGTCAAATAGTTCACACTCAAAGTGGCCATTGGCAACATACCATATTCCAATTGTAACAAAGACGTGTTGCGAACTTTTTGGATACTTTGGGTGTCATGAACTACACACACCGGCAGATTTAGCGGAACGCAAAAAAAAGTATGAAAATAAGGAAAATTACTACTGATCTATGAAATATTTATTATACAAAATAAAGAGATAATTAAANAGCCTATTGCAACACTCAGCGATAAGCAATTAAATTTATTGAATATCGGATATACAGTGTGAGTCACGTTAAAGTGTACATATGAAAATAGATGAAACTAGACCTATTTTTATCGACAAAAAAGAGGTCAAAAAAATTTTGAGATTTTTTTTAAATTTTTTATAGATTTTTTTTTCTTCCATATACTTATTGTAAAGAAAACTTAATAACTTTTAAACTAAGCGGTATATCCTCATAAAATAAAAACAGTAATAATGCTAAATAGCAGGCGATACTAAAAAAATACATAAAATACACAAAAAAGGCCAACAAATAGTAAAAAATTATACTTTTTGAAAAAAATCTGCTTTAAAATTCGTGTTTTTTTGGTTATTTGATGAATTTCTTCAAAAAATGCCCCTATGACCGGTGGTTTTTATTATTTTGTATTATTCTCTATCGTATTACCTTCGTAAAACCAAAAATCGCATGTCTCTATCCCTATCACAACATTTGCTATGATCGTTTGAACAAAGGCCTACCACAACATTATTCTCCGCTACAGGTAGAGACAATTTTAATTTTAACTAAAATGCTTATTTTACTTCGAAATCCATTATTTTTATTTGAAATCTAACTTGTCTTTATTAAAATTACAAATCTAGAGCTATTTTCAGTTTCGTTGTCAATGAAGCGTTGAATGGCGCGCCCGGAGAGACTTAGTTCAAACGATCATTGCAAACGTTGTGATAGGGGTAGAGACATGAGATTTTTGGTTTTATAAAGGTAATACAATAGAGAATAATACAAAGTAATAAAAACCACCGGTTATAGGGGCATTTTTTGGAGAAATTTATCAAATAACCAAAAAAACACGAATTTTTAAGCAGATTTTTTTCAAAAAGTATCTATTTTTATTATTTGTTGACCTTTTTTGTGTATTTTATGTATTCTTTTAGTATCGCCTGTTATTTGGCATTATTACTGTTTTTATTTTATCAGGATATACCGCTTAGTTTAAAAGTTATTACGTTTTCTTTACAATAAGTAATTGGAAGAAAAAAATTCTATAAAATATTAAAAAAAAATCTCAAAAAATTTTTGATCTCTTTTTTGTCGATAAAAATAGGTCTAGTTTCATTTATTTTCATATGTACACTTTAACGTGACTCACACTGTATTATGATTTTTGCCGTATTTATTGTAAAAAGTTTTTAATTGTTTTTATGGAACTTTTAACAATTATTTGTCATTTTGTTAAATTTCATCACACAGTGTTTCTAATTTATTAAATGAGAAGATTGAGAAGCGTACCTAAATATCCTGTCAGCGTCATGACGGACAATGTTGGGCATAATCCATTTACTTTTTTTTTCTTTCTTTAAATATTGTATTTTTTTATTTTGTTTTTTCTCTTTTGTTTGTTTTTGTGTATTGTCTCATGTTTGCCCAGCTCTCTCCAAAAATGGTCACCGCAGAATAACAACGTCGTGTTCTGGGTTTTATTTACCACTCCAGAGCATGACACATGCTGAGCGGTGGCCAGTTTTGGTTCTAACTTGTATCTGTTATCTGTTTTTTTGTTATCTGATTTTGTGTGCTATATTTTAAGTTGAAACCAAATAAATGTTTTTCTTTCTTTCTTTCTTTCTTTCTTTCTTTCTTTCTTTCTTTCTTTCTTTCTAAATAAGTGTGGATTACAATTATTAGAAACATTTTTCGGTAGTTATTATGTTGATTTTTTTAAAGGTAGGCCTACTGTCACCTAGTTAGTTAAATTGTATAATATCATGTTGTACCCAACTTTACCGTACAATTTCGAAAATATTTTAGATAATACTTAATTATGGTCTGGTCCGTGAGCGCGTAGAATTTTGTCCAATGACCCCAAGCTACCCATCCTTCTCGCTCCCGTGTAATTATATTGCTGTCGCGACTGTGCGACGGGCGTCCGCAGTGTGTGTGTGAACGCGACAGCAACATAATTACACGCGAGCGATAAGGATGGGTAGCTTGGGGTCATTGGACAAAATTCTACGTGCTCACGGACCAGGCTTAAGTAAATCATATTTTGAGTTTACTTATAATAGCATAATTTAGTTTGCGGGCGACCGCACGCATTTTGTATCAATAATTAATACGCACGCAGGTGCTCCTGCATTACCTTGAATTAATAGGCGTGATCCTGTTTTATCGAAATCGTCCCGTTAAGTGTATTTTTTCTCAAAATGTACTAATTCTAGTAAAAAAGTAATTAACTTAATCTTCNGGATGAACTTTTTTATACGCAATATCTCCGCCGATTATGAACCAATTTGAACGATTATTTTTTTGTTAAATAGGTAGGTATTATCAAATTTTTTTAATTTTTAGTTTTTTTTTGTGTTCACGCATTTGAAGTCGGTTATATTTTTTTTTTAAAGTTAATTATAAGTAACTACATACTTATAAACAAAATAAACTATCTTTTTAGCAAATAAAATTATCAAAATCGTTTTAACTTTAACCAGAACTAAGAGTGACACTGGCTTTAATTAAATTTTACCAACCTTTGGATGTGATTTGATTAGCAGGCGAGTTGCCTTGACTGGACGGAGGCAGGATATACAAGGCTCCTGAGGTCTGGGGGGATGATTTAGGCACCTATAAAATAATTAAGATAAGTACTTGAAGTTTTCAATACAGAAATACAATAATTCAACATCATCATAAGGTGGACTGACGACAATATTAAAGTACTCGTAGCAGGAGAGCGCGGAACTCAGGCCGCTACCAACTGATCAACATGGAAATCATTAGGGGAGGCCTATGTTCAGCAGTGGACATCCTATGGCTGAAATGAAGATAATGACGATGATGAATGATGATTATCAGGTCATTAAGTCTATACTGCAGGAGTACTACCCTCTTTTATCTAACAGTGGCAAATACAGGATTTGGTCTACACTCCCTAAACTAGTCAGACGGTTTAGGGAGGCTTGATGGTCACGTTATCTGAGAGCTTAGTGTGACTTTACATCAAACGTACTCACTCACTAGTGAGCGCGAAAAAAATGTAATTCAATGTAGGTATGACGGATTGTACAGCGCCCCTAGCAGAAACAGTCAAGAACTAAAATTTTCATTTTTAAAACGCCCTCACTAGTGAGGACTTTTGATGTAAACTCACACTCAGCCCTCAGACGTTTGGTCGCCTGTTACGACATTTACGGAAAAAATATTTTTTAGATTTTCTTCTTATATTTTCTTATGTATTAGCAGGCCTGTTCATCTCCGCGAGTTTACATCGAAAACAAAACACGCACGATGGCCCACCTACAGGATACTATTCGACAAGGCCTCACATACGAGCGAACATTGACTCACGCACGCGTATTCTTGTGTATGATGGAAGAAAATAAAGAAAATGGTGTACTAAATACTGTGCAGTATTTAACTGCCTCAATAATAATAAAAACACAGAATGTACTTTTTTAAGTTGCCTCAAGACACTGAGAGGTAAATAAGTAGTTNAAGGTGGGACAAAAATGACCCAGTGGCGCTTCTAGGTAAAACCAATTTTAATTTTTTTTCTAATAATAACATTATTAGAATTATCATTCAATTAGGATTATCAAAAACATTAAAAAATGATAAAATTCAATAAATCAGGAAAAGTCAAAAAATTTCATGGACTTTCGTTGAAAAATAAAAAAGTTAGAGACGTTCAAACTCGCGAGTGGGACAAAAATGGGACGGCGGCCTTTCTAGTGTTAAGGGTACTTTCCCTCCAGGTGGCATTACAAAATTCCACCCTGTAGATCATTTCAGTGGGGAGAAGTTTGATCTCATGGATAATTTAGCGTGTACCTACCGATAACACTCAAACATTAGCGAAAGAATAGTGGGGCGCGGCTTCGTGGATGAAACGATCTATACCGTACCAACTTATGTGCTACCATAGTAAATGACGAGTTTGAGTCCTATTGGTCTCAGTTTAAAACGTAATAGAGAACGTAGTTTAAATCTAAGCTAAGTAAAGTTATTATATCATATTTTACTTACACATAGGACCGCTCCCTCTCAAGTACGGGTTTCCGTAGGTAGCTGCGTATCTGACGTCAACGCCACCAGTGAACGCCACTCCAGGGTTGGTCATTGGTATGACTAAATAAAAATTCATCAGGTGAGTACAAAAACCATGATCAAGCAAAGTAAGCTTAAATATTATCATCAGCATCAAGTTTTTTTTGCAAAACAAGGCAGGTATTTGACCACAATCGCACCTGGTATTAAGTGGGATGCAGGCTAGGATGGTACATATCTGCCCTGTAAGTGCCTATTCACTCTCGCCTTGAAAAGGCCCAGATTATTAGTCTTCGGGAAAGACAGCAGCAGGCAGCGAATTCCAGTCCCTAGAATTTTCAGTCCACTCAAGGTCACACCCTAACACTTGCCACAAAGTCGATTTATCACGAAAAAAAGCATGTGTAAATTCGTCACACTTCTCTTCTAACAAATTAAATATTATGAAGTATTGACATCTACTTTATCATGCTTATGACGAATTTACTTTCAATGTCAAAAACCTACAAAAGTGTGACGAATCGACTTTATGGCAAATTCACAATAACCCAGTGGCTTCGTTGGAGACAGTCGTGTTCCTGCAGTGGAAACTAAATGACCTGATGATGACTGACACCCGTATTCACAAACGATGCTTGCTTAAGTGAAGCAGCAAATCAAACGCCCAGCGTTGATTAGAGCTCTGTGATTGGTTCATGTGTGACCCTGTTCGTCCACGCGCACTGTGAGACCGCATAGTAAAGTTTGTGAATACGGGCATAAATTAGCACTATTTACTTACCATCTGGTCCAACCCCCGCCAGCCGTCCACAGCTAGTCTGCCGATGCAGAGATCCACAGTGACTGGGGTAAGTAGACCCGTCAGTGCTCCTCGACAGTGACCCAGTGAGCGAGTCACTGGAGGGCAAAGGAGGGGCGTAGTCCCGGCTGTAGTCCACGTAAGGGACGTAGCCGTTGCTCTGGCCTTGAGCCTAGGGAGGAATAGAATAGGAGTTAGAGGTAGCCTTAAATTTTACATTACCCTTACACATGCTAAAGCACGCTGGACGCACGCCGCTAATAACCGGGCAACATTGAAAGCATTAGGGGAGGCCTGTGTTCAGCAGTGGACGTCTTATGGCTGAGATGATGATGATGATGCTAAAGGATAGGATACCGCTAGTCAATGGAAAAAAATCTTGGACGTCATATAGGTAGATACTGCACCATCCAGTCTACCTAGTTAAGTTTAATGATACATGATGGTACCTACATACTGGGTAACCATAGAGTTTGTGCGAAAATACCCATGCTTGGAGTAATTTGTAGGAAGTCTTGCACAAAATAAAATGAGCTGATCGAATGACATGCGCTTTCGAGTGCACAAGGTCTACCTAAGTATAACGACAAAGATCCTACTAAGTATTGAAGATGGTGGAGATTGAATTTCTTAGTTTTCTGGCGTTAAGAGTCGCCTCTCGATCCAAATATTTTTTTAAAACATTAGGCAGTCCGATTTTTTCAAGTTACTTCAAAAATATAAAAACATATCAAATACTACAGTTTCGACCTCCAAAGAAAATTAGGTCTGAAGATCTGTCTGCAAAAAATACTATTGCTAAATTGTTGAAAAAAGTATTTTAGTGATCGAACAAAACGATAATTGAATTGAACGATAACAACGAAATACATTATTCATGTCATAGAGGGATCTCCAAAGAAAGAAGTTAGACACAGAATAAATAAACCTAGATTATTCTAGGTTTATTTATTCTGTGTCTACGAGTAACTATGCGACCTACGACCTACTTGTATGTTTGGTTTAATACCCATATCTAAGGAACTACGAGTCCGAATTGAAAATATTTTTTTTTTATCCACAACGAGGAAGCTCTTGGCCTGTATCTCACCAGATGGTAAGTGACGATCAGGCCGAAGGTGGAAGCGAGCTTCACCCGGAATCCTCAACCACGGAGGAACTGGCTATCTTACTCAGACTTAGGTAAGATGGTGGTAGCTAGCCAGGCGGACTTAGAACAAGCCCTACCACCAACCAAACCGAACAGAAAAATGTGCCCCCACTGGGAATCGAACCCGGGACCTCTGCGCCTGAAGCAGGTGGTCTTACCACTAGAGCACAGAGGCGGTTAATCTTTTTGTATTTGATTGTCTATTTATTGTCCGCCCCGGATTCGCACGGGTGCTATGTATTCTAGGTATAAACCTTCCTCTCAAATCACTCTATCTATTGCTGACTAAACTAACGCCCGTATTTACAAACATTACTATGAGGTCTCACAGTGCACGTGGACGCAGAGGGTGACACACGAACCAATCACAAAGCTCTATTCAACGCTGTGCGTTCGATTAGCTGCTTCACTTAAGCAGGTATCGTTTGTGAATACGGGCTTATCTAACAATTATTATATTCAAACAATTTTCACGTGTACGAAATCGCGGGCACAGCTAGTAGTTGTGATATCAAATGAAACCCTTGTAGTTTTAGTTAGCTGTCCTATCCTTAACAAAGGATCTTTGACGAGCTCAAGTATTTTTTTTACATAAAATAAAAATCTAACTTTAGTAGACACTCATCAGTTGGAACAAACACATTTTCTTTCTTTTTTTACCAATAAATATCGTTGGACATTTTATTTCTTTCTTACTTCATAAAAGTAGGTACCTACCTCATTCTATTATGACATAGATTGGGACAATCTAATTATAGTTAAACGATTCTGAAACGTCAAGTGCGAAAGATTGGAAGTAATAACCCAATATTGATACTCGTACATTGTCCTTTCGGACAATGTCATAGCTGTTACGGTTTAGTGTTATTATTATTATTTCATATTATTTTAGAATTAATTCCAATAAATTAATTTAGAACCTTTAACTTACAGCACCATCTTAAAATAGGTACCTAGTCGCCCCCAATTTTATTTTATATGTTTAAATTTAGTTTTACAAATCCTGTCACTCCTCTTAACTTTAGAAGAACCTTTACATAGAAAATTCAAGTCAAAAGAAACACTTAGCTCATAAATCTCAAAGATAACTGTATTTTCACAAGAAGGCTCGAAGAAGGGAAAAATGCAATGCATACATCAGTATTTCTCTTGAGATTACACTGGTAAAGGCGCATATCCACTAAGAGCATGCAAACGAGCAACATTGATGAAATTGTCGTTTGTAAACTTACTCGATTGCATCAACTACAATCTGCGTCAAATAGTTTGTGTGATTCAAAGTGGCCAAAACATAGCAGATGGTAGAAAGACGACTGGGACGACATTAAATACTTCATTAAATGGTTATCACGGACTATTAACTATGTTAATGGGATAATTTTGCCACAAACTTTTTCAAACTGCAATTTGACTAAGCCAGCTAATCATAAAGTAAAACTTTTCATTTTGTAATTTTGTAAAATAAATTATCACAATAATAGCAAGTAGAACATACAAGTACATGTAAATTTCATTATCACCAAGTTCCGATGCACGTTAACGTATCATGCATTTTCAGCGGCAAAAGTAATTGGAAATAATATTCAAATTGAAGTTATGCTACTTTATAATGTTCACAGCCCGTGAACGTTCGATGGAAAATAATTACACGTGAGCGCTCTTAGTGTGAATGCACCTTTATTTAGATAGCTGCGCTTTGTGCACAACTTTGAAAAATTGGTCGGTTTTGTTAAAATAAGTTTTGGTTTTTTGTTTAGAACTTTTCTTATTATAAAGGCAATCACAATAGAAAAATTAGAGTTGAAACAAAGTTAAAAAATGTTTTTGTTAGATGTTCTGCTTAAAATTTTCACTAGAAAAATTTTCCATACAAAATAATACAGTTTGCTTAACAATTCAAAAGTTCTCTCTAAAAACAAATTAAAAATTTTAGTTTTTAGGAAAGGTATAAAGGTACACACAGACATAATTCTAAGAAGAAATATTTATCATTAAAATTTAAAGTAAAATATAGGTCGCTCAACGAAAGTTGAGGCGAAAACTTACTCACACTGATGTAATATTATACAGAACAAAAACAACACATCACACATCTACCTCGCTTCTGTTAAATGTCTGAAAGCGAGACAGAAAGCACTAGTCAGTCTGACTACGCAAAACGTCAGGGAAGACAGCGTATACAGATACTAATCGTTCCTTATGTTGAAGGCCTAAACCAGAGTAAATACAAATGAGTAGGTCATCTTCATAGAAACGCACCGAGCGCGGTTTGTATGTGAATTAAATTTAGCGTGGATTAGCGGGGTGTTGCGCCGAATTTTGTCAGTGTGTGCGTGCGCGCCGCATACGTATTAGCGCGCTCACACACAAACCGCGCTCGGTGCGTTTCTATGAAGATGACCTACTCATTTGTATTTACTCTGTCTAAACTCTCTTTGCGCGATCTATACTACATTTTCTGGAATAACAGCTCTAGAAAAGCTTGTCCATTGACTAGGGTGTCCACTGTCCATTATGTAATTTAGGCATACGCCCGCATTCACAAACGATGCTTGCTTAAGTGAAGCAGCAAATCGAACGAACTTTGAATAGAGATCTGTGATTGGTTTGTGTGACACCCTGTGCGTCCACGCGCACTGTGAGACCTCATAGTAATGTTTGTGAATACGGGCGTTAGTTGCACCATCTTAACTATAACCGGTGTTTCTATATGTATAGAGTTTGACAGACTTGTGATGTTTGTTAAAGTGCATGTAAGATGGTGCAACTCAGGATTATTGAAACAAAAATGACACAAAACTCACCTTAAAATGAAGATTATTTATCGGCTGATTGAAGTCCCCGCTGTATCTCTGGTACTGCTTCATCAGCTGGTTGTCGTAACCCTCAGGCAGAGGAACTGGTCCCGCCAGGGGAAGACCCATGTTTGACGTCAGATGCAGGGTAGGGTGCAGGTCGGTTTCAGAACCGGCGTTTGAGTTGTCCTAAAAGGGGGAATACCGTTATAGAGGGTGATAAAATAGGGATGGGTATCTATTAGACAAGATAAAAATTGACATTGCTAGAGACACAACAGAATAGTCCGAATAGCACTTAAATCAAATAAAATCTTTGTTCAAATTAGTTTAGTTTTATTTAGTCCCTATACAAAAAATCTTTGTATTTGAGCACTAGATTCATAACCTTTCACATGGCCAATTTTTCCCTTGCATTTGTCTAAGCATCGTCGGATTTTTTTCTGGAGAACTTTTGCACTATTAGCTCTTATCTAATAAACAAGCACTTGGAAAAAATTAAATGACTAAAAAACATCTAGTATCTGGTCAATAGATCACATAGGAAACACGCGATTTTTTTATTATTTGATATCGGATGTGAATTGCCTAATTATTAAACATACTTTGGTAGTTTATTAAAAAGTAATACTTACTATATCACAGCTGCCTTCCACCTGCCTCAGTTCCAGCTTCAGATCGCTGATATTGGAACTCCTATCGCTATCCTTGTACTGGTCAGCACAGTTCTTCCCAATATCCGTGATGTCGGGCTTCTTCACCGAAGGGTCTGACTTTTTAGTCTTGCGGTGGCAAAGCATGATGATCAGCATGATGATGAGCACTAGGATTGCTGCTGAGGCGCCTCCGGAAACTATCAGGATTAAGGAGTTGGTTTCTGGAAGAATTTATCAGCTGTAACTTTTTAAATGCCTAGATTAATGACACCTGAAGGGTAAGCTATTCAAGAACTAACAGCTACGTACAAAAACCATAAATTAGAAATGGACAATTTAGACAGTCTTATTGCTAGCAAGGGATCTTTATTAAACAACCCAGAGAGAGAAAGAGAACAGTTCCTTAGTTCAGATAAATATGTCAATAAGAAGAAAGAGAGAGATCTTCCTTAATTCAAAGAGATTTTTCGTTGACAGTGAAAAAGGGGCTTGTTTCTAAGATCCTTTACGTCATAAAGATGTAAACTGTGTCCCTTTCCATTCAAAATTGATATTCAAATGGTGAGAGAATGATTTTCTAGGTTTCTTTGACTTGTGTCCGGTGTGAGATTGATATCCAGATCGTTTGGTTGACCTATAAAAATGACTCATACTTACTGTCAGCCACCAGTTTTATTTCAATGCTGTCCATTCCATACAAATTTGTAACAGTGCAGTTGTATGACCCGAAGTGCCTCGACTCACTCTTCCTTATGATCAACGTGGATTTGGTCATACGGTCTGCCAGTGATTCTTCCAGAAAAGCGTATTCCTAAAAGAAATCAAGGTTTTTAATACGATTATAATCTAGTTATGAATTGGCAACAAATATCTGGCAACTTTAAGGCAAATTTAAATCATCATCATCATTGTTTCAGCCACACGTCCACTGCTGCACATAGGCCTCCTCCAATGATTTTCAGTTTGGTGGGTTGGTAGCCACCTCCATCCAGCACCTTCCTTCTACCTTTTGAAGACTTTGAACTTCTCCTATGTTCTTTTGATTAATTACGTTGCGGGTCCAATCACACAATTAACTTTCTACCGGTACATTAAGTACATTCTGTGTTTTTATTATTATTTAGGCAGTTAAATACTGCGCAGTATTTAGTACACCATTTTCTTTATTTTCTTCCATCATACACAAGAATACGCGTGCGTGAGTCAATGTTCGCTCGTATGTGAGGCCTTGTCGAAGAGTATCCTGTAGGTGGGCCATCGTGCGTGCTTTGTTTTCGATGTAAATTCGCGGAGATGAACAGGCCTGGTAGTAGTAACAAAACTTACTTGGTTGTGGAAGGTATTGATCTCACTCCCCTCATAGGTCCACATGATGTAGTCGGGCTTTGGAACTGAGAAGGAGACGCATTCTATCCTCACGCTGTCCCCTTCAACTCCATATTGGGTGCTGTTTGACGTTATTTTTGGAGGCCCTGAAAAAAACCCTTGGTGGTTAAACGAATACAGTAACTTAATAAACTCTAGGAGTGTCTAAACTATCTATGCAACGAGAGAGAATCCTTTATTTTGCAATGATGTTCAACTATAGGTAGACAGCGATACTAGAAACAGACAATAGTGAATTCAAATAAATCCAAATCGAAATACTATAGATTGTTTCATCCACGAAAACGCGCCCCACCAATTTATGGTCGAGAGAAGCGCGGGGTGCGGGGAGTTTGATCCGAGCAATCCGAGCGATATTTTGTAGTGTGCGTGTGCACTTATAGATAATAGCGTGTACCAATAACACTCAAACATTAGCGGAAGAATGGTGAGGCGCGTCTTCGTTGATGAAACGATCTATACCTATGTGTATCTTTTTAAAAAACTGCATAAGTGGATTTTAACAAATTTTAGCGACGAAATCTCGGTAGTCAATAAAATTAGTCTCCTGGCATTCAACTGATTCCTTTATTAAACTAACAATCAAACAATATCAATAGCAAAAGCAACTGTCTAGAACATGCCATCTTTGACATAGCACAAATAATCCGAGCCAATGAACTGCAGGTCTACTCCGAAACGTGTTTACGTAGTTCCAGGTCTATCTGTCACCTTTGCTCATGCTGGCATTTCGCTTTGAGTGAGAGAGATGGCAGCATTCGAAACTTCGGATGACGTTTTTCGGGGTTACACCCCTGAACTCGCTGGAATAGACGGAATACCAAGTCCCATGTCAACTCCCTAACGAGTTCTCTCCAGGGCTGACGCGGCGCCAGCTTGCAAAATATTTTCGGAGTTGAGAAATGTAGGGTTATATTTCATGTAAAGAAAAAGAGAAATAAATTTCATCTTTAATGGGAATTAAGATGGAACTTATTAAAGGTACAAATCTCTTTGTATAAAAAAAGAAACAGTTTTTGAACAAAGTTTATTTTTTTAATTTAATGGTAATATTTGCTCTCTGGTGTAAAATCTAATAGATTCTTAGGCTGAGTTGCACCACTTAACTTTGACAGTAATTATAACGATAACCGGTGGTTTTCGTATGGAGTTTGACAGATTTTTGAAGTTTGTCAAAGTTAAAGTAAGATGGTGCAACCCAGCCTTAATGTAACAATTTCCCATTTTTTTTTTAATTTTTTACTCGCTTTTGCCCCTGACTTTTTCCACGTAAATTTAATTCCTCGAAAGAAGTCAATTTAGGAGGCAGTTTAATTCCACACTAAATGCGCAATAACTTAAGTATCTATCCAGTCTTGATGAAATAAGATCTACCTACCACCCATTTTATGAATAAACCCAGGAACTGTTGGCAGGTAAACCTTGGCAGCACATGCTGAGCCACCTCCATTTGTTTTTTGTTTTTTTTTTTTACCTTTTGTAATTTTGTTTCTTTTTTTTTAGTTAAAAAAAAGCAATATATTTTGGACCCAGTCTTTTGGCACCCCTATCTGTCAGGTGGTCGCTCGAAGGTCATTCGGAGCTGGAGTTTGCGACTACCTAAGGAAACTTGTAACCCTGTATCACTTCGAAATATTACCGTCGTTATGCCAGTTTGATGACGTAACGGCTTTGTAGTTCCTGACAAGTTTGAAGCATTTGTTTAGCAACTAGCTTATGCCAGCGGCTTTGTCTACATTTGTCATAGAATGGACTGATGTCATTCAATAATAAAAGACGTAGCACACTTAACAACCCGCAAGCAGATCATAGAACTGAGTAGAATCAAAATGCGCATCTTAGTTTGAGCCCTCACTGGACACTGCAGCTTAAACAAGCTCTTGTCCACTATGGGACTGTCCGAAACAAGAACGTGCAGGATGAGCCAAGAGGCATATGAAACACCACTACATATTCTCACGGACTGCGAACCTCTGATGCGCAAGCGGAGCTTACACCTGGACAAACACATCCTAAGCCCACAAGATGTAAAACATATTAATATCGCCCCCCAAAAGATACTGCACTTCCTAATGGATGCAGGACTCGGAGGCGAACTGTAAGGAAAATAGCGGCGATCACTATATACATAAAAAAAAATCAACCGGCAAAAGGGATCGTGGCCGTAATCCGTATCAACTCGAGGCGGTCAGTATTCTTTGTATGTAACTCCATACTGCAAAGCACACTTATCCGCACCGTAATATAAACGCCTCGCCTCGCGGTTGACAGCGCGCTAAAGGCTATGACAGCTCGCGAAAGGCGATACGGTGTTGATCCCTTTCCGAGTTGATAAGTCATTAATATCAGAGTAAATACAAATGAGTAGGTCATCTTCATAGAAACGCCCGAGCGCGGTTTGTATGTGAGCGCGCCAATACGTATGCGGCGCGCACGCACACACTGACAAAATTTTGCGTTGATTNTTGACACAAAAAAGGAAAAAAATAAAAATACGCAAACGATTCGAAGACGAAACTTGTTCATGCTAGAGGTACAGAACGTCGAGAGTCGATTGCTACCGAGAGAAGTATCTTGTATGTATCACAAACTTCTGAGTGATGAAAACTAACGCCCGTATTCACAAACATTACTATAAGGTCTCACAGTGAGCGTGGACGCACAGGGTCTCACACGAATCAATCACAGAGCTCTATTAACGCTGTGCGTTCGATTTGCTGCTTCAGTTAAGCAAGCATCGTTTGTGAATACGGGTGTAAGTAGGTAGTGTTTGAAAACAATGTAAGTCTACTTACCTCAGGCGAGAACACCTCGGCCAACAGCACGTACGGAATCGACCCCGCTCCGCACATGAAACAGAAGCAATACATCAGAATCATAGCCACCGTCACCAACGGCGGCCCCGCCTTCGTCTGCAGCAGGGCTCCCAAACTAGCCATGCAGACTGCCACTAGTGTGGAGGAGGTTATTAACAGGATCTGTAATGAGAAAACAGTCTTGTCAGTTCGTTCGTTTCAACCAAATGACGTCTACGGCTGGACAAAGGTCTCCAAGAATTTCCATAATGACCGGCCCTACGCTGCCCGCATTCAGGTACTTCCCGTGAGAAAAAAGTTTATGCTAACATTTTTAGATACATTTTCTTAGATACATAATTTACTTTCTTTATTAAACTGCACTTTGGTTTGTTCACTGATTTACGACTAGTTTCTGTGCAATCTGTATACGCTTCGTTTTCAGGAGTAGAAGATAATATTATTCAGAAAAGATAAGTCGTCATCATCATCATCAACGTCATTATTTCAGCCACAAGACGTCCACTGCTGAACATAGGCCTGCCCCATATGAGGTCATCGCTCCCACACTGCGTTTTTCGGTACAAACGAACCAAAGTCACTGACATAGCCCGACGGATACAAAACTGACGACCGATGGGGCAGCAAAGTTCTGGACTGGAAAGGTAAGTAAAATCATGTTTTTAGATTCCACTATTAATAATTGTAAAGGTTTTACGCTGCCCTGACAATCAAGTAGTAATTTCTATTCCAATTTCGTTTCTGGCTTGAAACTTAGATATTATGGCAGGCAAAGTAAAATTTCACAACCTTTGCCTTAACTTTAGTATCAGTAAATTGCCGCAGTTGCACAAGCATGTCAGTCTATCCCTTAAACTCTTCCAAATTTTTTTCGCTGGGCTAAATGCTTCAACCACTATTCAAGATTGAAAGAGGACACACTGACCCGTCTCCCAGCCTTATCAGCGACGGCCCCAGTCACGAAGCTGCCCGTCACCATGACCACTGCGAAGAACACAGAGTACAAGTCAGCCTGGCTCGGGTCAGCTTGTTTGAAGACGTGCTTGGCGTACACCTGTACTGGGACTATGCCCATTAGGACCTGGAATTGATGAGACAGGAATTAACTTTAGAATCTAAAGGCTAAAGGCCTACTGCAGGGTTTCCCAATTTTTTTTTGCCAAGGAACCCTAATTGATTATACTTTTCCTAGCGGAACCCTACTTTGATAAATGGAAATTTAAATGAAAAACAATATAGTTTTATGCAATTATTTGTAAACAAGTCGGTGCGCGTGAACAACGTCGGTCACGAAACGTGGGATATTTTTTTTTACGGAACCCTTTCGGGAACCGCTGGCCTAAACTGGATGGAAGCAACGTTAAAATTACTGTAAAATGTAATGAAACCAGTACGAGACAAGCAGTCTTACTTTTGTGATACTACGGACCAAGAGCGTGTAGTAGGAAAAAAGCAATTCGGTAGTGCCTAACTGACAAACTTTTGGCTAATGGTAACTACTTTCCTTGGATCTTGCCTACTTCTTAACAAAACTAAACACATCTTGCGACATACTGAACCCGGGTAAATCCTCTACACCCAAGATCATTGTTTTATAACTTATTTATTACCTACATGGTCAATCAGTTAAATATTTTTAATTGGAGTTTTTGGTCCCTAGTGGCTCACACAAATTAAAAAGAAGGCAAAACCCACTTTAGATTCAAAGCTCTTATTTACCTGCATCGATATAACTGTTGTCACTACCAAAAATCCTCGCCGTGATGCCGATGATTTAACTGAAACAGTAACCAAAGTTAATTAAAATTATTACTCGCATTAGATTAAAAGCAATGTGTGGATATGTAAATATTTACACGTACACAAAGTTTTGATAGCTGACACCTTTGCCGGTGGGTCATCTTTGATATCTTCTGATGTTAATTTCTCTTTTTCAGCTTCTTCCGCTTTTTCTGAAACACATAAACATCAGTTTAAAGTACTTTACAAAACTTAATGTCAACTTGGCGTTAGTAGATTATTTTACACATGGTTAAATTAAGGCCCTGTGAATTGAACCTCGAATTTCGATTCAAAATCGTAGGTATATTGATAAATAATAAGGATTGAATACTATGCTTAACTAAATGAAAGCAATAGTTCTTCAAGCGCCATTGTTATAGTAGATGTTTTGATAAATAACTTACCATTTATTGTGGTCAATTCCACAGCTGGGGAGATTTGCTGCTTGATTTTGGAAATCTCTTCTTGTACGACCATCGACGTTGGAGGCACTCCTCGATAAAGTGACATAGATACACGAGCATCCTGAAAAAATGATTTTTAAGTAAATGACTCAACGGAATTGATGTCATTAAAATTATCAACATAATAATCCAGGGAAAAATTACGGTCAGTTTTCCCAAATTTGATAAGTTTTCGCGAAACCTTTACAAGTTTTTTCCCTTTAGACCTGTAACTTTCTAGAAGTTATATCAAATCTTTCTAGATGTTATGTTCAAATCGTTTGCGTACTCGAATCGCCATCAAAAGATTTAGTAAGAAAACTACAACAGCGCCCTTGTGAACGTGTCGTAAAGTGAACTTAGTATGAGATGTGGTTGCACGAAACTTATTTTGAGAATCAAAATTGTCACGTTATCGTTTAGTTTGAAGATTGAGTATCGAATTTTATCGAATACGCAAACGATTCGAAGACGAAAGTTGTTCATGCTAGAGGTACTGAAATCATCTTGGTTCCAATTTTCATTTAATCAATAAAATCCACCTACCTCTTCTCTATTCTTCTTCATGAGGAACACTGGACTCTCGGGGACGCTCATGAGGAGTCCAGCGCACATTACGCCCACGGCCAAGTTGATCCAAATGATTGTGTTGTAGCCAAAGAACCACCCTAAGAGGTACGACATCAGCGCCCCCAAGCCATAGAAGGTGATCGTTGCTGGAAAAAAGATAATAATATACTAAGAAAAATAATCCAAAAGTGACGAAGGACTAGCTAAGGAACGTTGCTCGTTGGTTCGAACCCCTCCGTCGCTGGACTATTGTGGTGAACCAAATCGTAACACAAGCATAATAATTTTGGCTTACCACATGGAGTTAACGGGACTAAGTATTAGTAATTCGTGCACTTATTTAATATTCCAATTGGGTCAATTATAATAACTGATACACTATCTAGTCCCAAATAAAATAAAGCTTGTGGAGACTGGAGCCTGACCAGCGAATCAACCAAATGGGATATAATTATAGACTTTTCAAATTCAAATTCAAATTCAAATTCAAATTCAAATATTTATTTGCACAATTTTGGGTAAACATAGTGGTCTTAAAACTAGTATAAGTAGATCGCCAAAATTTGCTGTATAATTAGTCAGCGTACAAATATTTAAATAATTTCTACAAGAATAAATTACAAATATTATGTCATTTACTAAATGAAAATAATTCATTTGCCAACTAGCATTAATCAGAGGTTGATCGTAGTTGTATCCTTGTCTTAGGAGCATAATCAGTATTAGCACATACTTAAAATCAAATCAATCTTGAATTACTGTAGAAAAATTCCATTGTCTTAATACATTTAATATAAACATTAACCTTGTAACTTATCCGAACGTTTATTATCTTTAGTGTAACTACAAATAATTTTGAGAGGTGCAGTGATAAGAATTTATGTTATTTATTTAATTAACTGGTGAAATTTACTCTGCTTGTTTATTTTTCTGTCTGGTACCTTTTCTAAATTAAAAGTTTGGAAAAGGGAAAAACGTTAGAATAGTAAGCGCGATAGCATTTCTGTGATAGACTGAAATTCACGCGGGTATTTATTTATTTATTTATTTATTTAAACTTTAGCACACATAGAAACAATGCACTGTGGCGGACTTAATTCCGGATGGCATTCTCTGCCAGTCAACCACGGGTCATGCAGAAAGAGTATTAATCATACTTATTAGATCACCATCTAGGAATAGAGAAACTATTTAAGTGGACAAAACCTTTGAAGGTTTTGTCATTAAAAAAAATCCAAAATATACCACCCGTCTGGCCAACGTGGGGAGTGTAGCCCATATTATCTTCCATGTGCCTCTGGTGAATTGGAAAGGGTCGTGCTCCTGGAGTAGAGACTAAATGACCTGATGATGATACCAACCTGATGACAGAGCTCCTCGGATGGAATCCTCGGCAACCTCTGATATGAACATGGGACCCAAGACCAGGTAGGCTCCACCAGCTATTCCACTAATGAAGCGAGCTGCGAGGATCAGGATGGATGTCTTCGATATTGCTATCAGGGCCCATGACAGCTGAAATAATTCATCATCATTATAAATAAAGATTGATGACTATGACCTCAGACTATGACGTAGATTTACAATATCATTGAGTGATAAATTAGATACTCTTTGATTTACCTACCTGTATACCAAATAGTTGATAGTTATAAGAATTTCGTAGATATAGTTAAATAAGGGAAATCCATCGTTATCAAGAATAAATAAAATATTTCGTAAGTTGATCATAAAAAAAATGTAACGAGTGATGAAAGTGAGTTGAATTCAGACATATAACAGAAAAGCACTATCGAGTGCTTTCGAGGTAGGTATATCATAATGATGAGGAAATAACACGCCATAATTTTATTATGGTCACGAGTTCTCAGCAGATTTGCTATAATTTACTTAGTACTCTCTAATCTACCAATGGCACATGGAGGATTAAATTTGGACTGCACTTAGCCACATGGGTGCAAAGACGAGTTACAAAGGATGGTATTAGATTTGCATAAATGGCACTTACAACAAAAGGCAACGACACAGCGACTCCTCCCAACTTCCTTCCAAAGATTTCTATCAATGGTCCGACCACCGCCGTTCCGACCATCGCGCCCAATGATGGTAGACTCCCCACTAAAGATTCTTCTGTAGACGTCATGGGTGCTGACAGGATGGTAGTGGTATTCGATGTCAGAAGAGACGTGGTGTATGATGGCCAGACGTAAAGCAGGCCCATGGCGAACGAGCCAAAGGAACCTAGAAAAATGACAAAGTGGAAAGTTCAGTTATTTTCATCAAGCTACCTCTGTGCTTTCGTCTATATTATCTAAGTCAAAACTTTTAAAAGTTTTAGCTACTTATCCCCGTTTTCACCATCAATCCCTAATTTTAAGTGACCCCTATGAAAACGAAATTCCTGTTATGTGTTGCCATAGGGGTCACTTAAAAATCAGAATTAGGGATTGATGGTGAAAACGGGCATCAGCTACTTATTCTCTTGGAAGTCCTTCGCTAGTTGTTTGTCTTAAAAGTCCTTTCTTAGGCTGAGTTGTACCACCTTACTATGACCGTAACTCTAAGGCCCAGAACAGACGATGAAACGCAACAGCAACAAAACTGCAACTTTCTTTTTGATTTCTCGATTTTGATGAATGAAACTGAAAGTTTCAAACTGGTCGCGTCATGTGTGGTCTCTCAACGGACGCTATGGCAGAAACTTAGATGCAACTTAAAAGTAACTTGCAGTTGTAGTTTCGTTGCAGTTGCGTTTCACCGTCTTTTCTGGGCCTAACGATAACCAGTGCTTTTTTTATGAAGTTTGACATATTTTTGACGTTTGACAAAGTTAAAATGAGATGGTGCAACCCAGCCTTATTGTTATCATCTTTAACTGTTTGTCCTATAAATGCTTCGTAGCAAATCATGTGACAAGCTACACTTCTGTCTGTAGATATTGTGCTGAATATGTTAATGCAAATGCATGATCTTTATGAATGAACTACGATATTAAGTTTAAAGGCTCTTACTGCTATGGCAGTAAGATTTTTACATTCAATACTAGACAAATTTTAATAAAAGGAATTCGGATAATTTAAATGGTCGTGTTTCTTGAAAAATTCCACATTGTAACTTGGAAGTTCTTTTAATAGAAGGCACTTACATTAACGTTGACTATTTCTCATGATCTTGAAAAAAATACCAAAAAAATTCAAACACAAGTCTTAATACAAAGTTAAGTGAAGCATAATCTTGAATGAAATATAAACTGCGTCAAAGCTACACTTTGAAATCTTACTTGCGATCGTCGCCGCCACTTGATAGACCCTTCCGCTAACCATGGTTAATTAACTAATTACTATTTCTAAAACACAAAAAACTATATAAACTACATTCGTGGAGGCTCAATCAGCACTGAACTACGAATTCGGTACAACGATATTACATAAAGGTGTTTGAATAAAAGTCTGCTAAGCCCTTTACAAATACATGCGATACGAGATGGTTTTATCTTGGAAACAAAATTAGCTACTATAGTGTAGTAATCCTAGACCAGAAGTTGATTTATGGATGTTTGAACAAAGTAATACTCGATAGTGTTGAGACTGAAACCAATAAAGTTTCATCATCATCATTTCAGCCACAGGACGTTCACTGCTGAACATAGGCCTCCCCCAATGACTTCCACATCGCACGGTTAGTAGCGGCCTGCATTCAGCGCCTTCCTGCTACCTTTATCAGGTCGTCGTCACCTTGTGGGTGGACGTTTCATGCTGCGTTTTCCGGTACGCGGCCTCCATTCCAGAACCTTGCTGCCCCATCAGCCGTCAGTTCTGCGCACTATGTGCCCTGCCCACTGCGACTTCAGCTTGCTAATCCGTCGGGCTATGTCAGCGACTTTTGTTCGTTTACGGATCTCCTCATTTCTGATTCGATCTCGTAAATAATATTTTTTTTGCTTATGCTTTATTTCTTTTAAGAAGAAAGGGTGCTGGGTTAAAGCAATGCTGTGGGAGAAGTGTCCTACGAAGTTGTGATCTGATTTATTTTTGATAATGCATTTCTTGACCTTTTATTATTGTTACTTGTCACATTCCAATTACCTTGCCCATGCCCATGTTTGGAATATGATGGAAAGAAGCCTGCAGCATAAAACAACTTAGAATAAAATGCTCAAGATCAGCACATTTAAACATCTGCTTCTGTTATAGGATTCAATTCGTATACCTTCCCTGTAAATGCCTATTCATTGCTTTTATATGGGCCAATCCCAATCTCTTTCTTCAAAAAATGCTTGATCTAATACTCTTACCCATTGCTGTTTTCTGTGCCATAGATAAAGATGTGCTAAGACTATAGAGATAGCAGAATTAACACTATACCTAGCTAGTCTAAGACTGGGTACTACTCAATCTTCACAGATTGGTTTTCATTTAAGGTCAAACTGTATAATATCCTGACCATACAGAAGTTGCAGCAGTGGAAACTAGACGTGGACAAGTCTCTTTATATTTACTAAGACTAACTCTGTAATACAGGGAAAACTGATGAGACTAAATACGGCAATAATATGGCATACCATTGCAAAGCAACATTTAGTATGGGCATGTATGGAAGTTTGCACATAACACCGATTGATTCTTCATACAAATTAGAATCAGGCCCAACTATCGGCTGAAAAACATCGGTGGTCTGCGCCTACGCTTAGAAGTGACAACAGACATCACTAAAACAATGCAATATCACTGTCTGCACGAATGGCAATTCGCGAGTTGTCAGTTTATTTATTGTAGAAACAGATAAGACGCAAACGGAACGAAATGTTATTTTTGTTCGCAAATATTAAGCAGACAAAATTAAACATACATTTTTAACATTTTAAACCTGACAGTCATGAACTATGCATTTAGTGATTTTATTCCGCATACTAATTTATGACGTCGTTTGAAAATATTTAGAGAAGGTAATCACGGGAAATGATGCGTAAAAATCGTTTTGGAAAATTCCTCGTGTACATCATAAAGGATATTTCATGATTTCATGAGTATTTCTTTTCTAATTTACTTACATTTTAATCTGTACCATGGACGCTGAACAAATTATGACTAAAATTGGTAGTGTGTGATTCTTTAACTATAGATTTAAGATGGTAAAAGTTATTCTAAAATACATAAACAAAGTTGTGAACATCAGTTTTTATCTATATCTTTTAAATTGGTCATATCTCAAAACTCTTAAAACTTTTATATGGTTATGTTCGGTGCATCTGAGGCCCAACTACCTCTGATGTCAATGTGACGTGCTAATTTTGGGACAGCCTGTATAGAAAGCTGTTTTAATAAACTATTTACATACTCTAACTTACACACTTTTGGGATATAATGTCATGGAAACTGCACGTCAGATAAAAATAAAGACAAACAACTCAGTACAAAATCAAATAATATTTTTCAATTTACGCAATTCAAAGTCTCAGACTAACATTTGCAAATATAATGATAATGATTATACAAAATTGATTCAAAATGTACTACTTATCACTTTTTAATATCACATAGACATGGCAGGTATTCCTAATCATAATACTCGTTAGTCTACTCTAAATTATACTAAACTCTTCCTAAAGAAGCAATCAAGCTTCATTTGTCACTCTCCTCTTCTTCAAGAAAAGCAGCTGAATGGCATCAGCAGACAGTCCTTTGGTCTCCGGAAGACAGAACTGGCTGTAGGCGGCCCCGCAGAAGCAAACCACTGAGAAACCACAGAAGATGGCGCCCAGACCCAGGCTGTCTACTAAAGGATTGAAGACGATGAGCGTGACGAAGTTCATGATCCACATGCAAGCCATGGACATGCTGTTGCAGAGGCCTCGGACCTGGAAGAGAATCAATATTAGAATTTAAAGGAATATCTACGGGCAGTGGAACTAGTCACCGAAGCTTAATAGGTACACAGCTCAGTGGACTACAATATTTTTTTAAAATCAAATAGGTACTACATATAAAAGTGCCTCGATGTTAAACTTAATTTATTGGTTGTGATCAGAGGCTGTAGTACCTAACTCCAGAAGAAGAAGTCTACCATTGTTTCTGATTAGGTAATGCGTTTTACGATTATTTATCAATGTAGTGAAAGAATGCAAGCTTGAATCCATCAGACCATTCGATATAACGTCGTTTCCATTCTTAAGAGGTCAAGTTACGCCGTGTGTTTTGGATTAAGAAATTGGTAACACCTCACACGGAAGAAAGAAACAAATCAAATAGTTTTTATTGTGACAATATCACCCTTAACGCAAGAAGCACAGTGTACAAATGCCTTCACCCATTTAATTCGTGAAAATATAGACCACAAAGCTTACTTCTGGCAAGAACAGCTCAGCGGTCAGCACGAAAGGCACCACTGCTGCACCCAAGTTGTAGACGAAGCAGTAGCTGTATATCAGCATCGCAGTGACCCAGTTCGGCGCCCAGTGGTACTGCAGCTGGGTGCCGAGCAGCAGCGTGAAGATTCCAGAAGCTATGGATGTCGTGGTCATCAGAAACTGTTGGCAAAATACAATCTATGAAAACTTTGCTCTCAATAGTTCAGAGTTGAATTGAGAAAGATTTTTTTCTTAACCCAGGAAAATGGCCTGGCCATACCTACCGCCCCCAGTAGGTTGTGGGGCTCAAACCCACTAAAAACCTAGGGTGTTCCCTCTGCCACATTGTCGTCGTCTTGGATAGAAAGAATGATTCTTTCTACCCGACCTCTACTGCATCTAATGTGTGATCCTGGATCTGAAGTAAGTACTTTGCTAATGACTATGCATCTATTTTTACACTTTATCGTCTCCATGTTGTGTGTCAAACAAATATTTTTCTATTCTATTGTTATTCGCACTGTCCCTGACCCTAGATCTAATTATCTTCACCTTAAAACGTCTCTTACCTTTCTCCCAAGCCTGTCCATCATCAGCGCGCAAATGACGCTAGCCACCAGGAAGTCCAAGGCCAGGAATATGGAGCACTGGTTGGAGTTCATCGAGGGTACTGCCTCCTTGAAGAGTGGCTCCGCGTAGACCTGCAGCACCACGCAGCCCATGAGTATCGTGATGGCCATCACTGTTAGCGCTGTGGCTAGCGCTCGCTTGGACGATTCTGATTTCACTGTTGGAAACATAAAAGTTTATTTTCAATCAATCTCCATCTTCTATCAAGAATAGGGATGATGACTGAGTTATGAAATCGAAATTCTATTTAGTCCGTCAGACAGATAAATAAAAAAATTTGGACACATATTTTTTAAATTTTTTCTCGAATAATTACAGTATTATAATTGAGTTGAAATGTCACGTGACGTCACTTTTGAGTAAAAAATCTACTCAAGCGTGACGTATCGCGCCATTTCAACTTGATGTAGCACTGTTATTATTTAATTATAAAAAGAAAATAAGAAATATGAGTCTAATATTTTCTAATTATCTGTCTGACGGACAAATAATTGAAATTTTGTCATCTAGCCTTTTCTTCTGAGGCAGAAGGTAGAAAACTCACGACGGCTTGTCACAAAAATACAGTTGTGAAACTACGTCTAGTTCAATTTTATAATCATCATTATTTTAAATTCTTACTATAACTACAGAATACAATAGTAGCAATAGTATAACGTGATTTGTCCGCCTGACTGTACCACGGACGAAAATATAAATGCAAATGCGGGTGGGTGAAGAAAAATCATCGCGCCCGAGCAGACGCCGAATCTCTTCAGTCTGCCCGCGACCACCCGCGACCGTGACTCGTGCAACCGAGTCGAAACGTCGGGAGGGTAACCTTTTTACCTTTTTAAAAGTGTTTGTGTGGTGCCAAATACCATTATAGTGAGAGTACAAATGCAACATGAAAATTTAATATAATATCATTATTTAGTCGATCGAGTAAGCTTCTCAAATATCACCAGTCGTCAGTCTGTCGCGCAAACGGCCTGTAATAGTTAACCATGGGTATGTTTTTCATGTTACGTAATTTACATCACTGTTACATTGTTTAGCTTATAGATTAATTGTCAAACAATTTACCCACCCATTTACGTCATCTGTAATGCATAACTTCTAAGTGCAAATAACAGCCTTTATTAATGCACTTTAATGCTCTTGATGAACATTACACAAACCATTACAGTCACTTCTGCATTTAGGTCTTAGGTATATAAAATACTAGCTTTCCACCCGCGGCTTCGCGCGCGTGGACCCCTGAACCCTATTTAAAATTTAGCCTATGCTACTCGTGTATAATGTAGCTTTCGAATGGTGAAAGAATTTTTAAAAACGGTCCAGTAGTTTTTACAGCCTATTCATTACAACCAAACAAATACAGTTTTCCTTTTTATAATATTAGTATAGACTACATTCTTGTGTCTTTAGAGATCGAACGCCATTGATTTAATAAAGGAGTGTATCTGTATATTTGCAACATAAATCAACTCACTGAGAAATTTCCATGCTGATTCTGCTCTCTTATTCCCAGTAGGTTTGGCTATAAGTTCCTTGGTTGCTTTAGGATCTGAAAGTATAATAATATTTATCGATACGTAACAGCTTATTACGTCCTAGCAACTTGTTTATATTAAGATATCTTAACATATAAACGTATTAATGTCAATAACAATAGGGTTATTACATATTAAAGGAATAACGTGACTTTTTCTGTTTTGATTCTTCAAATTGTTTGCAGAGTTTTAATACTTTGCTTTAAAAGCTTTAAATTTCAAAACGATTATAACAATAGTGATTTAAATTCATAATTTAAGAAAAACAATACAATATTTGGTTCAGCCCCACTGGGTAGCGCAAAGTAGCATAGTGCAGTGTTGGACTCCTCCAACAAAATGGAGGATCCATTCAATATAAAGTTGGAAGAAGAAAACAGTCAAGAACGGTCAGTACGTGCATTGGCATCTTGCCTATCTTCAACAGTAGACCGAAATATGCTTATCTCTCTCTCTCTCTCTCTCTCGAAGTGAAGGAGGACTGGACAAAAAGTCCTTGGCTTGTTTGGGTCCCTTACTAAACGTTCCACCAACCCATGATATAGCAAACAAAATTATTTCATCAGACCAAAATCCGATAGTCAAAGTCAAAGTCAAAGTCAAAATTTCTTTATTTGTTTAGACTAATAAATAGTTCTTACAAATCGTCATTTTGCTCTTAAGGAGCCTCTACATGTCTCATAATCTTTTTACCCTACCAGCGCTTCGAGACCAACATTTGGCAAGTGCTGAGAAGAAGCGCCGCAACAAACTCAGTCACCACTGTCTGCCGGTTAATATAAATAAATAGAAATAGTAGTAGTAGGTACATTCGATTCAGGAGCAGTTCACTGAATTTACCATGCATTCTTGTATGGTGTATCTTATAAGAATGGGTATACAAGATTGCGTGGTATATTAAACAAGGTAGTGACGTGCTAATAGAAACCGCTAGCAGAAACTAGTTTCAAGTTAAATACCATTATCAGCCTGCAGTATAGTCTCGATCCGCGGATCCAGTTGTAGTTTGATCTTCATGATCTCCGCTTCGACTTCTTTGGAGGACACTCCAACTCGCCTGTAGAAAGCTATTGATTTCGCTGCTTCCTGAAAACAAGCATCAATAAATTGAGATGAAATCGACAGCACTATAGATATATGCAAAATCGCACAGGCATATTGTGATGCCACAGATTCAGTTTGAAAATGTAGGTCTAAAGTCTCATTTATACTGAAAGAACGAAGTCAGATTGGTTTTCTATGGTGGTAGTGGCTTAAACACAACATCTTTTCTGATAGGACAGTGTTCTTTACATAGTACTATGGTAAAGTGAACTAAAATGTTTATTTTAACCAAATAACGACCTCTGCAGGACAAAGGACTACTACACAACGTTTTTTTAAACTCCCGTTAGCCCCTCGTACCAAGCTAAATAATATGCTTGTAACACGAGTGAGCTCACCACAATAGTCGAGCGGCGGCGGGGACGGAACCCGCGTTCCCCGGATCACGAGTCGGCCAGTCCGACCCCTTCACCGTTCGGCTATCGTGGCTTCTACAACTTAATATTCACAGACAGACAGGGTCTTTTATTTACTATATGGTACTACTCATTATTATACTATGATGGTACAGTGAATAAATAAACTGCAATATATTTTTATAAAAATAACAATCCTCACCTCCTCCCTGCCTCGTTGCACCAAGAACACGGGCGATTCCTTCAGCACCGAAAGCAGGACAATATACAGCACTGACAGAGACAGGTGGACGTACACCACTTGGTGGTAGGACAGGTGTCCCCCCAAGGTGTAGGAGAACAGCAGGCCTAGGAAGAAACCCGAGACTGTGGTGGAAGTTAGGGCGCCGCGGATGGAGTCCTGGAAATAGAGGATTGAGAAGATATAAGTGTTCAAGAAAAAACCTATGTTTGAGGAAATTGAAATTAATATAGAGTACAGGATTGTCTTTAAAAAGCGCTTTTATGGTACACTAGCTTTTGCCCGCGGCTTCACCAGCATTAAATTTAGTTTGTCACAGATCGTCATAAATATATGCGCCTATATGTTAATCTGGGTTATAAACAATAATACTGTAAAGTTTCAACAAAATCCGTTCAGCAGTTTTTGCGTGAAAGAGTAACAAACATGTTGACATCCAGACATCCATACAAACTTTCGCATTTATAATATTAAGTAGGATTAGTAGGAAGTAGGATAGTAGGATATCCCAGTAGGTATAAATAATCCTACCATCGCTTCGAGAAAATAATATGCCAGTGCTGAGAAGATATAAAATAATTATCTTCTGTATAAATATTAATTTACACAACAATCCTTTTTTTTTTTACTTCGGGAAATGCTTTGATGGTCGATGGGGACGGCCAGTGGGTTTATGTGGGACTCTCCCCGCCTACCCACTAAAGGCGGAGCCTAGCCCCTAAAATCCGACGGTTTCCACCAGAGCTCAAAGAAACGGAGCCGCGAGTTATTTTTCTAGTTGGACATTCGTCCTCCATTGACTTGTGAAAATTTATGAAAAAAGCAATGGAGTCTAAATGAACCCTGATTTCTATGATGAAATTATTATTCTGCTGATATCTATGTAACTTCTCAGATTTAGAGAAAAGTACTGACCTGGCATATTTCTGAAATATACACAGAAGAAACTGCTTGGCCCGCGGCGCCAACGCCTGCGAACCCTACTGCCACCAGCACCAGCGGAATGTAGTCGGTGAACGACAGCACCGCCCACGTGAACTGGAAACAAAGACAATCATCAACTCACGTTAAGCTGTGTTAGTCCGACCGAATTATCAGCGCGAGGATGCGTGTCGTGATATACTTTATCGACGTCAAAATGTATCGGCAAAATCGATAAAATGGCGTGATATCCGCTTACCGTGGCGCGCATCCTAAGTCTAAAAGAATAATAAAAAGTCTGAAATCAATTGCTTTCAGTCCAACCTTTACGAAACTATTCATTTTCATACTCAACCTTCACACTGTTTAAAAAGAAATAAATATCAACTTTTGTAATTAACCAGCAGCAGGATGATTTAATGAAGGCTACTGACAACGCCACTCTTGTGGCGGAATTTTGGGCTGACGCTGTGTAGGTTTGTTGTCGACACGACAAGAAGATTAACCATTCCGTGTTAAATGTGCACCAAATATTCTAAAGATCTACGCTCGTTTATTTAACATCATATGTACCTACACGTCACTCAAAGATTTAGGGAACATTTCCATTTAACACTTTCTGGACAGTGAACTTCTATATCAGTCAACAATTAAACTTCTATTATTCTGGGTTACCTACTGTCCGGGAAACATTAAATCGAGTTTTAAGCATAAATCTTAATATGATTTTTTCAATTGTACTTACAACAAACGGCAAGCCAAATAACATAGCCGCGTATTTGCGGCCAAGAGTGTCCAAGGCGTACCCACAAAACGGCGTCACTGCCAACGCGCCAACGTTGGTCAAAGTGCCTAACAAGGACAGTTCCAACGTGGTCATAGGCCTAGATAGGACCGTCTCGTTGGACGCGAAGTTGGCCACTGTGTATGACGGCCACGCGTAGATGAAGCCGGTCAAACTGGTGAGGTAGGCGACTGAAAAATATCATTTTTCTTGTTAATTTGTGTCATTTACACATCGCGGACAACTACCACAAGGCGGACAGATGACCTCATAAATGTAGCAAGAAGGCGCTGGATGCAAGCCTTACGCCCATGTGACGACAGCAGAACGGCCATTGGCACATCTATACTAATATTATAAATGCGAAAGTAACTTTGTCTGTCTGTCTGTCTGTCTTGCTTTCACGCCTAAGCCACTAAACCGATTTCGATGAAATTTGGCATATAGATAGTTTGAGTCCCGGAAAAGGACATAGGATAGTTTTTATCCCGAGTTTTGAAACAGGGACGCGCGCGATAAAGTTTTTCTGTGACAGACAAAATTCCACGGGCGAAGCCGCGGGCGGAAAGCTAGTATTTTGATAAGTTGTATTAGGTTTGGGCGTCTAGTGCTAGAAGCTTGGCTCTACATGAGATCTGTTAACTTTTCTTAACTATTGACACTGTAAAAACTATGACATTTTACATGAAAATGTTTTATAATGGATCAATTTAACTTTTAAACTATACCAAATAGCATCGTAGAGCTCTAGTTCTTTGTAACTCTGTGTGCTCTAATTAAGAATCAACCCAAAACTTAGTACAAAACAGCGTTCTACCCACTAAACTACAGGTGTGTAACTATAGTGTAAGTAGCATAATTAAGTGCATCAATTAACGGATTAAAGGGCGTCTATAAACATCAATGACAACTAATGCAAACAAAGTTAGCATTATTTACTGTATAATGATGTCACATACACTTATTGTATTTGCTATTTGTTAGATAAGATTACCACAGATGAGCCAGTTTATCGTAAACATACAATAATAAATAAAAATATGCTACAGGCGACACGGGACTAACAGGGCGATGGAGCGAGCTATACTCGGAGTTTCCCTGCGTGATCGAATCAGAAATGAGATCCGCATGAGAACCAAAGTGACCTACAGCTCGCAGAATTGCTAAAATCAAGTGGCAGTGGGCGGGGCACATAGCTCGTAGAGACGATGGCCGTTGGGGCAGGAAAGTTCTCGAGTGGCGACCACGGGCCGGAAGACGTAGCGTGGGCAGGCCTCCCCCTAGGTGGACGATCTGGTGAAGGTCGCGGGAAGAGCCTGAATGCGGGTATCGCAGGACCGGTCGTTATGGAAATCCTTGAGGGAGGCCTTTGGCCAGCTGTGGACGTCATTAGGCTGAAACGAACAAACAGGCGAGACACATGAAATAATTCATAAACATCGATTTTATTACCACGCGCGCCTGCACGTTTTTACTATGCAATACTTCTTATACTATGATTAAGAGTAGATTCTTAATTATTTTTTTCTTGTTTTTTTAAATTAGATGTTTTATTATGATTAAAACGAAGCCGACAAGCAACTGGGCTCACTACAAATAGTTTTTATACGAGTATTTAATTCAAAGTTTCCTCTCATAGAGTCTTGAATTGTGTCAAATTGACATTAAATTAATTTTTTAACATTTACTTCGAATACTTTCACTATTTAGGTATAACAATTTAGGTATTTGCACAATCTACATAGTAACAACACATACTAAATATTGTCTGTTTGTAGGAATATTACGCTATGCAAAAGTTTTAAAAAGTATAAACTTTGCAATAATAACAATAAAATAATACGTATTCTTACGTATTATGCTTTTTAAAAGCTCATAGCTACGATGTGTGCTTTTACCACAAAGTAACTAACCACTTACCTTTTTCGGATCAAACAATACTTTGCAAATTAATTAAACGTTTTCAGTCCTCAATATTTTTACCATCTAAACAAATTTATTATGTTTCAAAATCATCACTAAATTAATCCAAAATAGACACTAATAAAATATTTGTGTATGTTGGACTTCCCATTAACTTAGAAACTAACATTATTAAAAAAAGCAAGAAACAAAAACAAAAATACTAACTGCATATCGTGGAACAGCATTGCACAAAAAACGCGGATTTTTTCACTTTCTCCATTTTTTTTCCAAATTCTCCACCAACCGATAAGAAGTTAAATTAACGAATGTGTTAACAACACACTGAGTTCTGTCTGTCACTAAACTTTATTACCGCACTGTTAATAATAATCTGCTATTAAAGAGATTATTTTAACTGAAGATAGAACGGTAGGTGTTATTAATATACACTTTTAGAGATAACACTAGTTTCTGTCCGTGTCTTCGCCCGTACATCGGTTAGATGTGGGAATATTCCCACCTCTCGTTCCCACCGCTGCAACTCCTGTGTAACCAGGATCTGCAGTTTGACCGCCAATAAAAACCCAACCGGTGAAGGTCCAGTTTGTCCCGGGGAAAAGTTAAAACTGTCATAGTTAGAAGACTATCTATGCAGATAGGTAGTATAGATTGTGTGTACCTAGACTACTATGTATGGTGAAAACCATTATAGCTGTTTAGACACGATAGCGTTACAAATAGACCGACTAACTGTCGTATTTATATGTATTAGTATCCACAGATAAGGATCTAAAGATATCCTGACGTGAAATAGTAAGATGGTACTTATAACTTAGGTCTTCAAACTGTCACGGACTTGTGAAATTAAGCAGGATAATAACTACGAGTACTCGTATATCCGAGGATAAGAAACTGTAAGATTTCATCTACTCGCGTTTTTGTCTTTATATTTTCCAGAAGGCTCTTATGAGAGCATGCACAGATTCACTAAAGTACCTCTTATATCTAGTTATATTTTTAGGGTACCAACGTAACCCTTTTAATTTGGTGGAAGTCGAACTTTAACTTCGAACTCCTCCTATGTTCTTCTGATTAATTTCGTTGCGGGTCCAATGACAGTTTAACTTTCCCCCGGGACAAACATGACCTTCACTGGTTGGATTTTTATTGGCGGTCAAGCTGTAGATCCTGGCTACACAGGAGTCGCAGCGCTGGGAACTAGAGGTGGGAATAGTCCAACCCTTTTAATTTGTCGGGCTGTTTGCCTTAAACTAATTTGTAGATAGTTAAACACAGTTGGCGCCATAACAACATTTGATTTAGATAAAAATATAGTTAAAAGTCAATTATAATTAGTCATTTACACCCGTATTTACAAACGTTGCTTGCTTAAGTGAGGCAGCAACGCTATGCGAAGTCGAACACACAGCGTTGAATAGAGCTCTGTGATTGGTTCGTGTGTGTCACTCCGCCACTCAAGTCTTGTAGAATGTCGATAATGTCAGGATGGTACGCTAACCTGCGTCTGGTTCCCCGGTGATGGAAGGGGGGGCTGGTGGAATTAGATCGTGTAATTCCTTCGCACATTCTCCGAAGTGTAGCCTGTAGAAAACCATTAGGCCCAGAACAGACGGTGAAACGCAACTGCAACGAAACTGCAACTGCTGGTTTTTTGTTTCTGGTAGAATAAAGTAGATGGCGTTCAGATTTCCGGAACTCTTTACTTTTTTTTGGTTCCATTCCCTTCTGGAACGGAACCCTTTACGTGTGATACCGACTGTCACTTGTTTTACGCCAAGCTACGCGTGCGCAACAAAACTGTTCGAAGCCAGGGTGGGTGGGGTAATGTATCATAAATCAAATGTCCAAGGAACGTCACTGAAAGGTTAATGTCTGTGAAATTGGCTTGTCTTTCTGTAATACACACAGAAACTAAGCTGGAACCTAATTTGAAGAAAATTAAAAGAATCACGGTCCCAGCCTCAAACTTAACTGCTTGTGTAGAGAGTTGGTTGTAAACAGTAGGTAAATTATGCTAAAATGAAAATATCGCCACCTTTCATAATATTAAATAAATAAATGAATAGTCTTTATTTTCTCATCACAAACATTACAATCACATAAGTTATTCAATATAATTATTACAATTCATAAAACGAAGTTGTTCGTGTGAGACTGATGCCTGTGATAGGTATTTGCATACCTGTAGTACAGGTCATCAGGCTCCCCCCAGATATTGAAAACTAAATCATCATAATCTCAGCCACAAGACGTCCACTGCGAAACATAGGCCTCCGATGACTTCCACATCGCTCGGTTGGTAGCGGCCTGCATCCAGCGGCTTCCTGCTACCTTCATGGGGTCTTCGGTCCACCTTGTGGGTGGACATCCCACGCTGCGTTTTCCGGTAACGTGAAAGACCCGTGGTTAACTGGCAGAGAATGCCATCCGGCATTAAGTCCGCCACAGTGCATTGTATGTATGTATGTATGTGCTAAAAGTTTAAATAAATAAATAAAAATTTCCTTTCTATGGCTACAATCGTGCGCCTGGGCATAACAAGGAATACTTTGGCCGTAAACTTTCCTTACAATATAATGTCGGAAAATGATATCTCAAGCAAACATTGCTCACAAAATAAATATTTTACCATAGAACACCACAGTCTTTATTACATAACTTTAATTCTTCAAATCCATCTAACCCGGCAGAGAAAAAAACTAAATAATCATCGTACCTACATAGTACTGTAACTAAACTAAAAATACATGATAGAGTGACAGAGCTCATCAAGCTTAACACAGTGGCTTCTAATATAGTTGTTATACGTTCCATTTTCCAACATAAGTGTATAGTTTTATGTGCTTTTGTATATCAAACCTCCACGCCGTTTCTTCCAACGTGGCAGCAAATAGATAACAAGTAAATAAAAGATTAACCGTATATAAATTTAAACTCAATGTGTAAATACATGCTAGACGCACGTTAAGTAAAATTATTAAATATTTTACCATACAAAATCACAGACTTTATTACATAACTTTAATTTCTTCAAAACCATCTAACCCGGCAGAGAAAAAAAACAAAATATTAACGGACTGTCATGCAGCAGAAGTGCCGGGACAACAACATTGTTGAACAACGATACCCCTTCCCAGTGGTTCCATAGCGCGGTTAACATGCGAAAATGCACTGATTCAAAGAATCCCTTAAAGTTTGATCACTACATGCCCGACACACTGAAAGTTTTTAGTTTCGTTTTTATTTGACTGTACTTTTGAAAAGGTGCGAGTTGACGAACAAAATAATAGGTAAAATCGGAATTTCCCAACTCGCGCCTGCTAGCGAGTTTGACAGGTGCGAGATGACGAACAACCCAGATTTTCCCGTCACGCCAGCCTCAATGACATCATACGCAGGTCTCTTTCTGGCGCTTTCGTACCGGCCATTCTTGAACCAAATGGCCTGGTTCGAAGTGATGGTAAGACACCTGATGGTATGACTTTGGTTCCATGAAAGGTGGGACGGCCACTAGTGTGGGATGCAACCTGCGTAGACACATTGGCACCGTCTCATCTTCCGCAAACCTCGTCTGGGGCTGGTACTGCCGCTGCAGTCTTAGTAGTACCTACATGTTTGAGCCATTTGGGGTCGAGACGCTAGGTCCATGGGACCAAGTGCTCATCGCCTGTACAGGGAATTAGCCAAGCGGCTGATTGACTGTACAGGTGATAGAAGAGCTGGCGCATTTCTTGGCCAACGAATCAGTTTGGCCATTCAACGCGGAAATGCAGCCAGCATTCTGGGCACCATGTCGCGTTGTTTGGACAGCGATTTGGGACATATTTTTTATTTGTAAATATTTAGTCTATGTAGGTTAATTATTTGTATTATTCTTAATTTTCTCTCATAATAAATTGCTATTTATGACGAAGTGACAGATTGATGGAGCAAATAAAACTTAACACAGTGGCTTCTAACACAGTTGTGATACGTTCCATTTTCCAACATAAGTGTAGAGTTTTATGTGCTTTTGTATATCAAACCTCCACGCCGTTTCTTCCAACGTGGCAGCAAATAGATAACAAGTAAATAAAAGATTAACCGTATATAAATTTAAACTCAATGTGCAAATACACGCCAGACGCACGTTAAGTATAATTTAACTAAAGGATTTGGCAGATAGGCGCTCTGTTGTAAAGATAAATCAAAACTTTTATTTATTTACTAGCAATGCTAGGTAAAATAGTTTGAAAAATTTTTTCCCGTTTTAGCAACGTTTTTCTTTACTGCTCCACTCCTATTGACTGTAGGGTGGTGTTAGCCTAAAAACCTTCCTCGACAAATAGGTTATCCAATCTATATAAATAAAAATGAATTGATGTTCGTTAGTCTGATTAAAACTCGAGAACGGCTGGGCCGATTGAGCTGATTTTGGTTTAAAAATGTTTGTCGTAGTCCAGGGTAGGTCTAAACGGTGAGCAAATACGCGCGCGATATTCTTTTTCTGTGACAGACAAAATTCCACGCGGGCGAAGCCGCGGGCGAAAATTAGTATCAACATATTTTTTCAAATCAGATAGTAGTTCCAAAGATGAGCGTGTTCAAACAAACAAACTCTTCAGCTTTATAATATTACTATACTATAGAATTGACGTCAGATATTTTAATACACGAGCATGTACTATATTTCTGTTCTGTGGGTATATCTAGTCATGCCAATATTTGCCTTTAGCGGTATTTGAACTCGTTGCACGTTGTAGTTGATGAAATTGCCAAGTCATGCGGCCTTTAGTGATATAACAAAGTCCTTCATAAGAATATCAACATCGGATGTCACAGAATGCTGTCAAGTTCTTTAATAAAATTAGTTTGTGCATTTTTGTGTTCCGGCAGTTGGAGGTAAGATAGCAAGTTCCTCCGTGGTTGAGGATTCCGGGTGAAGCTCGCTTCCACCTTCGGCCTGATCATCACTTACCATCAGGTGTGATACAGGCCAGGAGCTTCCTCGTTATGGATAAAAAAAAATTAAAATGACTACTGACTAATTGTTTGCTATTTTACTTATCACTGGCGTAGTAATGCAGTATTTCTCTACCACTGCCTCTCCCCAGGGGGAGGCTATTTCCAGAAATTGACTATTTCTACATTGTTAGCTTATGTTTAGTTCTTAGTGTCAAAAGGGGCGGACCTAAAAAATCTGATTGAATTTTTAGCACATGTAGTATGTCTAGGCCCATAAGCCAATTCCTTGCTTTCATTCACATGCTACAGTAGGTACTTACATTAACATTAATTTCATACGTCAAGCTACTGTTATCTGACTTCAATAAAATGCCTTAAGCCTTATTAATTGGATCTTAAAATACTGTGATTGTCATTCTTAGTTTGTTTATCATCTTAATCGTATGTTACCCTCCTTATTTTTATCAGATTTTATGACTTTAACTTTGTTTTGATAGTGATTTTTTCCTCATATTTTGTTATTTCATCTTACAAGGATATAAACAAGGGTTTACTCTTATTGCACAATTTTTTTTTCACTACCAAGTAATTGACTTCTTACTTCTACTTCATAAATGTAGGTCATCATCAAATTGGATTGTAATAAAACACAAATTAATATAATATAATTTAATTTCCTGTCAGTCCATTTGTAACAAATACTTGACATTCCCAAGATCTTTCAAAAGATAAACAGCTTCTACAAAACTCCACCAAGCCAAAACTCTACTTGTTCTTCAAAAACAGGACTTGAATGGCGTCTGCAGAAAGGCCTTTGGTCTCAGGCAGTTTGAAGTACACGTAGACGGTACCAAGGAAGCAGACTGCTGAGAATAAGTAGAAGACGCTGCCAAGGCCCAGGATCTCCACTAGCGGGTTGAAGATGAACAGCGTGATGAACATGAACAACCACACGAAGCCCATTGAGAGGCTGTTGCAGAGGCTTCGGACCTGGAAGAAGAATTTAATAAATTAGATCTTGAAATGGAAGAAAAGAATGAAAGGGACCAAGTCAAATATTTCTGCATGTGATAGATTTAGCAAAAAACATTGCAAAATGGAATCAATAGACTTATGAGGTAGTTAATTTTAACGTGTTTCGCTGCTTGGTCCCATTAAGAACTTATCTGTCAGATATACAATGCCTACATTTGGTTTCAGAAGTCTGGGATAGAGATACCAGAAAATTATGTCTCCAGTTATACGAGTAATTAGCTAGCAATATTTTTGTAAGATAACGTTAGTGTGTGAAACTTTATTAGGAACAGGAGAAACTGACCTTAATTAAAAAATAACAAATGTGCTCTCCCTTACCTCCGGCAAGAAGACTTCAGCGGCCAGCACAAAGGGTATGACTGCACAGCCTACGGTATACACGAATGTATACAAGTAGATCAGGAAGGCGGTGACCCAGTGTGGTGCGAAGTGCACCTGTAACTGCACTCCTAGCAAGAACGTGCACACGCCTGACAGAGCAGACGTGATGATGAGGAGATTCTGTGGATGGAAAAGAAAGATTTGATAAATAAAACGATAAAACTTTAAACATTAGTAGTACAGGGACCTGATTGATTAATTCGAAATCTAAGTGATAAATCTGTCTTTTAATAGACAATCGTAACAGTAGTTTGCCAGCAGTATTGAATATTATGTGAAGCTGAAAGGAATTTTCCTAATGCGCTGAACTTTCAATATACTCGTACAGCAATGCTCTACAAAACACTAATCATCTTAGGTTGTATTACATCTGCCAATACAAAAGTTAGAAAAAAGACAACCTCAAATCTAAAAGCAAACAGAAGATTTGGTCCCACCACTCCACGCTGGTCAATATGCATAATTATGTGTCTCCTAGACATCCACAAGAAGAGTGGGAGTAGTCCTATATCTCACTTAACACCAGGTACGATTGCGGTCAAATACCTGCCTTGTCCTGTATAAAAAAAATATGTCTCTACCGGAATCACACGGCTAACCTAAATTAAAAAAGGCGGAATACATTGAGGAAAACTAAAGTAACTCCATTACCTTCCTCCCAAACTTGTCAATCACCAGCACACACACGACGCTAGCGATCAGCAAGTCCACAGCTAGCATAATGGAACACAAGTTGGCAGACATGGACGGAACAGCCTCCTTGAACAGCGGCTCGGCATACACTTGCAGGACTACGGAACCCATCATGATAGTGCAGGCGATGATGATGAGGACTGTGGCGAGAGCACGCTTGGAGGATTTGGATTTTCCTGAAAAAAAAGGTTGAATGAAAGCATGCTGAAACGATGTGGCATCTTATTATAGAAAATATACTGAAGATATTATACGTTGTGGATGCCTTTGAAAATAAATTAGCAATATTTTCTTATTTCTTTCAACTCGTCTATGGAGCTTCGATTACCTTAACAGCTCAATAAGCGTCAAATACTTACTTAAAATTTTCCACGATGGCTCTTTCCGAGGCATATTGTCGATTTTGTTTTGAAGCATTGCTTCAGTGGCTTCCAAATCCGTGTCTATTGAACAAATAAATACAAAATTATAATTGATCAAATCAATAGAAGATAAATTCTCAAACTCCTTGCCTAGAGGTTCATTCATGTCCATGACTCCTGAATTCTAGAAAGTAACATTTGTGATCTTGACTCTTTCATATTCGATGTTATGATACGATTTCAACCGCTAATTGAATCTGTCACTAATGTCACTTCAGGTGGGCTGGACATGAATGCTTCTATATCATTTGCTCCTAGCAGGAATTGAACCCACAACCATGGTGTAATTCGAGAACTTACTCTCAGTTTCAAGCAGCTTCTCCAACCTGGGGTCTAGCTGGAGTCTGATCCTCCTCATCTCCACCTCCACCAGTTTGGAGTCGATGGCGACTTGGTTGTAGAATGCTATGGACTTAGCTGCTTCCTATACAATGAGATTAATCTAAAGTTTAAGTGCGTCATCATTTTTATCATCATTTCAGCCATAGGACGACAGGAAGTCCTCTGCTGAACTATCGGCCACAATGTCAACTACCCATTCCCGCTCATGTCATCTCGTTCTGTCGCTAAGAATCACCATTTGATGAGAGCGAGAGCAAAAACGGAAAAAGTAGTTAATAATGTGTTCGATAGAACATAGGCCTCCCCCGATAATTTTTATCATTAAAAATCGATAAGTACGTCATGTGGTCAAATACCTGTCTTGAAGAAATTACCTTGCACGTTCGTGCTACTGTTGCTTTGTGCAATCAATATTTTTTTCAAATTACCCACATTTTAGTTCGTAAAAATACTTGAAACTCATTTCGCGTGAACAGCGTTAGTCAGTGTTAGTGAGTTGGTGTGAACAGTGTTGTGTTTATGTTCCAAAATCGATATTTTGATCACCAGTGAGTGTACCTTCTAATTGGAGCTAATTTTTTATGTAAGTATAAAAACAAAATATTATTTACCTCCTAAAAATGTAGTTTTTAATGGTAGATATTTATAAAAGCGAACACTCACTCAATCTTAGATACTACAAGTGCTAGGAGTCTTAAATTTTGCATGGGGGTTTCTTTAGAATGTAGGTGCTCACTAACACGAGATTTTGCAAAATTCATTATTTAAAAGGGGTCTACGCGTACGAAGTCGCGGGTGGCCGCTAGTAGGTTTATAATGTTTTCTTCAGACAATCTTTTTATTTAGACTAGGCTGAAACCTCAAAAACTAAATGGCTTTATCTACAAATAATCGCGAAGAGTTCTCTTACCTCTTCCCTTTCTGCCAACATCAGATACACTGGAGATTCCTTCAGCAGCAGCAGAAGGACGATGCAAAGTATAGACAGACCCAGATGAGTGTAGACCACCTGGTAGTAGGTCAGGTATCCACCAAGGAAGTAGGAGACCAGTAAACCTGTGGGATAGTTTAAGTTTTTAGTTGGTTCATCTATCACTCAGTTACTTTAGCCCCTAAAAACTTAACAGAGTACAAAACCTTTAAAAACTTCAATGACTCGACACACTATCTAACATTTGCCTCGGAGTTGCAATAATTTAGTGGACCGACGACCTGATAAAGGTAGCAGGAAGGCGCTGGATGCAGGCCGCTACCAACCGTGCGATGCGGAAGTCATTGGGGGAGGCCTATGTTCAGCAGTGGACGTCCTGTGGCTGAAATGATGATGATGTTGCAATAATTTTATCAATCCCAAAAGTATGCTTAACTCAATAAAAATTCGTTTAAGCCAACAAATTGCCTAAACACGCATTCGATTATGCCGAACAGCCACAAAATAAAGTCAATAAGGAATACTACTCACATACAGAGAATTGTAATACACTGTTTCAGTGATTTTAACATTCAATAAGTTTCTACAGAAATAAAATATCTTAAAACTACGTACAAAATACATAATTTCACAGTTTATGGTAGTCTTATTCCTATGCTACTTACCTATAAAGTACCCAGTAGCAGAACTTGCTGTGAGCCCCCCTCTAATGGAATCATGGCTGATCTCCGAAATGAAGATCAGGGAGACGTTCTGACCAGCAATGCCCACGCCTACCAGCCCCATGGCGAGGAGGATCATGGTGACACTCTTTGAAAACGCTATTATGAGCCATGCGAACTGGAAGATAAAGTTTATTATTGTGAACCGTGCGATGTGGAAGTCATTGGGGGGGGGGCTATGTTCAGCAGTCGACGTCCTATGGCTGAAATGATGATATAATGATGATGATTGTGAATCTAAGGCTGGTTCTATGGTTTTTAACCTCGTTAAAAATAATGCAACGTCCGCACTGCGGCTTTTTCCCGCGTATACGTTTCGGGTGGTCTTGCTGTTTGGCGGTTTACCGCTTGCGGGAAAAAACCGTAGTGGGGACTCAGTCTTTAGTTACAAAAATTTTGATGTTAAAAATTTTAGCATTATAAAGTTTTGCCTAGATCGTCGATTTGTTTTTATGTAACGATGTAAGAGAAATATCTATTAATCTTCATGACATTTAAAGATTCGTTTGTTTTCGTTTCAGAAAAAGGACATCCACTGCTGGTCAAAGAAGTTTTACAATGGCCGGTCTGGTGCTTCCCGCAACCTTCACTAGATCGTCGGTTCATATAGTGAGAGGCGTTTACAGGTATGTACCTAATAGTTATTTATCCCATCAAAAACAATACTTGTCAAAAAAACCAAGTCTCGCAACTCAGTTGTTCTACGGTAAAAAGTTGTGAGATCCATGTAATACCAAGTCCAGGCCAGGAAATCTTTAACGTTTTACATAAATTATTGACTTGGCCATCGCACTAAATAATTTAATTTACACGTGTTTTCATGCGATGGCCAAGTCAATATATTTATGTAAAACGTTAAAGATTTCCTGGCCTGGACTTGGTATTACATGGATCTCACAACTTTTTACCGTAGAACAACTGAGTTGCGAGACTTGGTTTTTTTGACAAGTATTGTTTTTGATGGAATCTCATTTCTTTTTGTATTTTGTAGACAGCAGTTATGTATCTAGAAAACTGGACCGAAATTGAAAAATTTTACTCGACTTGGCGGTTGCACTACCGTGCCCCCAAATATTTTAGTTTTTCCTTGATTCATACACCAAACACTACTTATATTCCAAGTTTGAAGCTTCTAGGTCTACTAGAAGTGCCTTAGAGTTTTGATGATCGGTGAGTCAGTCAGTGAGTCAGTGAGTGACAAAATTAAGTAACTTTGACCCGTTATAATTCTCAAACTACTGGTTCAAATTGAATGAAATTTTAAATATACCGTGTCTTTACAATGCCTGCATAGCTAATGAAAATTCAGCCTTCTAGTTTTATCCACAACTAAGTTACAGGCAGTCGAAAATGGCCTGAATTGCTTCGAGAAAAGGATGGTACGGCCGTGCCGCTTTTTTGCTCGACTTGGTGGGGGCACTGCCGTGCCCCCAGATTAGTTTGAATGAGGTACTAATCCGGGCCTTTCAAGGTGAGAGTGAATAAAATTAGCTCTTACAGGGCAGATAATATGTTACATTCTAAACAGCATCTTAAAGGCCAACATACTTACAAAATGTAAATATTTACTCTTTGATTTTATTACATGTTACTGATCAAATCGAACCTTATCAATTGATATCTGTTGATTAAAATAGTGTGTCTAGCTCAAAGCTGTTGCCTAAAACGGCAATATTCCTAGTATCTTAGAATTTGCTAAACAAGTTCCAACAGGCGTCGAATTTCGAACTGAACTACATCATCTTTAAACACTTACCACATACGGCAATCCAAACAACACAGTAGCGTACTTCCTCCCAACCTTATTGAATATGTACCCGCAGAAGGGACTGGCCACCAGTCCCCCAATATTGGCCACGGCCCCGAATAGAGACACTTCCAAACTGGTCATAGGTGTGGAGAGAACAGTGGAGTTGGAGGTGAAATTGGCCAATGTATAGGAAGGCCACGCGCAGATGAAGCCGGTCTGGCTGGCGAAGAATGCCACTAGAAATAAAATGAACTTTAGTGTCATAAAAGACCAATTCTATTGCTTCTGGTAAATTAAAGAGGAGTCCTGTAGTGGAGACTAAATGACACTTTTTAATATCATACTAGTTAAATCCAAACCAGTTTAATTCAGTGTGAGATAGTTAAATTTATTTAGATCAGTACCTAATGACCGTTTTCACCACCAATCCCTGATTTTAAGTGATCCCTATGAATCCAATATCGTGTTAAGTGTTACCATAAGGGTCACTTAAAAATTAGAGATTGATGGTGAAAACGGGCATAAGTCTCATAATTATTATATTTCTGAATTCTCGTTTGAAAGAATATTATCAAGTTTTCATAAAAAATCAAAGATTTTAAATACTAACGGCATAGCGTAGCTAATGATTGCACACCAACCGCAGACGCTTTTAACTTCGGGCCCTCCATGTTTGACACTTCCACACCTTTTGCCTTCAAACGTTCAATCACACTAATTGCAAACGACAAAATGACAACTACTCCCAGGAACTATATTGTTATAATACTATAATCGTTTATTTACCTTGATATATCAATGTTGATAACACACGGCAGGTAGACGCAGTAAACTTATTCTTTTTCTTCATGTGGATTGTAGTAATACGGGACTATTCCCACCTCTCGTTCCCACCGCTGCAACTCCTGTGTAGCCAGGATCTACAGCTTGACCGCCAATAAAAACCCAACCAGTTTAGATCAAAGTCCCGGAGTAAAGTTAAACTGTTGTAGTGCGGGTTATAATAAGACGTAAGTATTGAACAACAGTATACTATCCATCGTTAAGTCATTGTCGTCGTTCCCATTGTGACTCTTATAGCCAGGATGTACAGATTAACTGCCAACAAAAGCTCCGCTTTTTTGTCCAGGGAAAAGTCTACGAAATCATATTAAGAAACTAATTGTTTAACTTAAAATCTAACATGATCGATAGCATCATGACAGTCGAGCTATTTGCTTCTTTGTTTTTTCTTTTGTCACATTTAGTTTTATCTTACTTTTTAGAACCTTCAGATAGATAGAATTATCATCATCATCATATCAGCCATAGGACGTCCAGTGATTGCCGTACATAGGCTCCCCCAATGATTTCCATAATGACCGGTTAGTAACAACCTGCATCCTTCCTTCTACCTCTCCTTCCTGCTACCTTTATGGGGTTGTCGGAGAGAGTAATCCACCTATTTACTTCGATGGCGTATCACCTACGTGTTACTTTTGTCCTTAACTATGATTTTGGCCTCCATACCTACATCATTTAAGGTAACTAGTTGTCCCAGTATCAGTAGGTACAAACTTGACCTTTGCTGGTTGGGTTTTTAATGGCGGTCAAGCTGTATATCCAGTGCCCCGATTACGCTATTTTTAACGTCTCCAATACATACGCGCTTCTTCTCCAGTTGCGCTCCGTTTTTCATTCCAGCTGAGGTGCAAATTCGGTATCACGGTAATGGACGTACCTTCCATGGTACCTTCCTAGTATTTTCATTGTCACATGAGATATTTAGCTTTACGTTTACGTCTATGCTTCGTTTCAACTAGCTGTCAAAACGACACATTTTGACACGACACGACACAACGACACACGATTTGTCAAAACAGTTGATGTTCGTTCGTCGTCCGGGCACGTTGAAGATGAAAATTTTTAGCGTAATCGGGGCCCTGGTTACACAGGAGTTGAAGCAGTAGGTAAGACTTCTTACCTCACCCCTATTGTAGCAAAATATCTGTGATATATGTAGTGAGTAAACACAGCAATGCGTAGTACAGTGATTGACACAATAAAGATATTATATCAGTTGAATCTCCTGGGATAGTAACCTTGACAATGGATGTAACTTGTTTATAATTCCTTTTTTTACCAGAACTTTAAAGCCTTCAGCTGAACTCATAGAAAGTAATGAGTGAATGCTTAGGCCTCAGCCTCGAACTTAGCGGGCAGCGGCGCGGGAGCGGCGGCGGGGCGGGAGCGGCAGGATCTTATGCGTAAAATCAAATAGACCGGTTCTCGAAAACAGCGGCGCGGCAGCGGCGCCGGAGCGGGCAACGAGCGGGCAGCGGCGAGGGAGCGGGCAACGAGCGGGCGCAGCGCACTCCTTCTTTTGCCCACAATAAATCGAGCATAAGGAATAAATTTGAATCGAAATAAAATTGTCGCCGTTATTCAGACATTTCGTTCGCGAATAAAAACAAATATCTCGACAACACAACCCCGAACACAACACTTCGCCGCTAAAGCGCCGCGCGAGCTGCACGCTGGTTTCGAGAACGGGTCTGCGTTGCCCGCCCCGCTCCCGCGCCGCCGCCGCCGCCGCCCCGCTGCCCGCTAAGTTCGAGGCTGAGGCCTTAGTGTGAGTTTACATCAAACGTTCTCACTAGTGAGTGCGATAAAAAAAACATATGAAAATTTTAGTACTTGAAAGTTTCCGCTAGGGGCGCTGTACAATCCGTCATACATTTAACTGTCATTTTGATGTAAACTCACACTAAGCCCTCAGGCCGAAGATGGCAGCGAGCTTCCATCTGCATCCTCAACTATAACGAAATTGGTTCTTACTATTTTTCCTGATTGAGTCGTTAGGGCTACTTGAATACTGTTGAGTATTTTTTACATAATTCGAAAATATTAGGTGTATTTAGGCCTAAGTAGGTAAAGGGAATCGAGATCAGCTAGACCAGCAATACTTCTATGCTCAGAGCGACGAACATGCGTGATTGTATTAGTGCGTATGCCTTTCCCTTCTGGCGGGAGATCTCCTTTTAACCCTTACCACAGAATTCGCCGCAGGGTTTAATTCTTTTTTCCGCGTTAAATAAGGTATTTTGAGTAGTTTTAATATAATGTCTTACAATAGTAAACTTTACAGTCCAGAAATAAAAATTTAGAAGCTTATCAGTTCCTACCTAATGATAGTGTAAAACGCGGTAATTTACTCAGTTTTTCTCTTTTATGACAAAGGCAAATATTTTTCGATTCAACAGTGAAATGCTGTTTCACAAATACGACAAAATTGTACAGCTGCCTATCTCAATAGGCTAGTTTCCTAAAAAAAAAATATTTAGTCCGGCATGTTTAAAATGTCAAAAAATATTTTACACATATATTTTTATTTGTCAATCTAACAAATAATTACATAGTTATGGTGCGTTGAAGTTCCGCGCGACGTCACAAAGTGCGGTACTTTTATGCACTCATTGACGTCACGGGCCTCTTCTTATGAACTTTGGCGCGCTTTATCTCTTTAAATTTTCATTAGTTTGAAAAAGTGAAAAATACGTGTAGGTAGAGTATTTTTTGATACGTTAAATGACGGACTAATTAAAACTCTTGCTATTTGACCCAGAAAACATCCCTATTATGTTGAGTATTGATGTTAATGAGTGAAAGAAGCATGTAGAGTCAATATATCGAAAGATTTGTTGATAAATCCTCCAGATTACACCTTATATAATAAAGGAATAATAAAATGTCATGGATGCAAGACTCGCCAATAGATTTTATAGTTTACTGTGCCCTAAATAAATATTGTTATGAAACATAAATCAAAATGTTTTTTCGGCAATCAAATTATTTGTCAACACGTAGTACCTATGGATATAATGGCGTCTAGAATAATGATGAATAGATTTTTGCATTTCAAGCATCATGTTTTTTTAACTAGTTTGCTTTAGGTTGGAATTGAATCCACGATAGGTACTGTTATACATTATTTACTTACACAATAATCGAGTGTTTGGAACTATGTATGATTTCCACAAATAGTTCTTGTTTTCTTCTTTCTTTCTTGTTTTATTTTTTGTTTTGTTCTTGTTTTGGAAAAAAAAACAATCTGATTCAGGTTCACAACCGTTTATTAATTAACAATAAGTCGAACTTACCTAATATTTACAGAAAATATTTCATTAATAGCAGAATTTATATAAATCTCTAAATGAATGTTAAAAACACTATCCTGCTCTATATTAAACATTTAAATACTTTACAACTAAGTTGATCGTTAGTCTAATGGTAGAAATACTTAGGATATAAATTATTTTTGTTTGCAATTAGTATTTTAGGTTTTATCTACAAAAATTACAGATAGTATATTTTTATACCATGTTAATTCGTTGTTCATTCACACTATTTATTAGTTTGTATTAACATTCATAAATAGGTTTTAATATTACCTATGAGAATGTTTACATTGTAGGTAGTAACATTATCACATTTTTTTCTAGCAATCAATCATCAAAACCAGTATTTTAAGCACAATATTTTATCAAATAGAGATTCTCCTTGTGCTTCTACTGTCACCAGCTTAATATACTCTAGCTTAAGGTACTCGTATATTGTACAATCGTACCCATTACATATAACTACATAAAGATGCAGTTAGTTCTTTAGAAGGTCCAAAATCAATTTAATATCAATTGTGACATTCGAATCAAGACATACATTCAATACATCGATGAGCTAGTGACCGCATTTGAGAAAACAAATCATCAGCCTAGATATCTTCTCGACGCGTATCTTATTGTCCATACTAACACATTCACACTTTCATCACAATCAAATTGCTTACGCAAACTTGACGGATCCTTGCGATCTCATCCAGCAGAACGACACACTAACGCTGGTCAGCAGAGACCCGAGGAAGACTAGAACGCTTCCCCACAAAGCTGCCGATGGTGACACACAGAAACCTGCTGGTTCTGGAGGCAGATCCTCAGACAACACCACCCTCAACCCTTTGCTAATAGTCGTCGAAGGCTCAACAGTTCTGTTCCCTATATGGATCAGATCGCGTCTTCTTCTTCTAGGCTCTAAGCTTCCAGGGTTGGGGCAGGCATCGCAGTCAGTCTTGCACAGCTCCACGTCGCATTGGATGACCAGGTCCATCTCGTCGGGGAATTTGAACGCGTTGAAGTACGCAAATGCTATGATAGATGCTCCAGTATTCCCTGTTTCTCTGGTCTTCTGGAAGGCGCCGAAGAGTTTAGGTTTCAGGACGCAGCCGTTGCTATCAGTCAACGGAACGACGTGATTGCTCTGAGAGTCACGAGCTACACATTCTCTGACGAAGATGTCGAAGCCAGGATCGCCTGTGACTGTTACAACTAAAGTCATGGTTTCTCCAATCTTAACCAAGCCGTTTGCTTCAGGAGCGAACGGTCCCTTTCCGATTTGGATGTCCAGTCGCGCCATAGCAGTGTCTCCACTAAAGTTGCTTGTAATCTGATTCAACATTCCTACGCTGAGGGAAGACACCAGCTGCTTAGTCAGGTTTCCTTCCCACAAACATCTCACTCTACGGATATGGTCCCACACTTCTTGAATGCCTGGTTCATTCTGCAGAACGAGGACATTTTCCAAGTACGCTTGACCTTCGTTTTCGAAATCACTGAAGAATCTGGTTCCACAAGTGTTTAGGCTAACGGTGAATGAGAATTTTACTTGATTAGAGTTTTCGCGGACGTAGACACATGCAGGTTCATTGAAATGGTCTTGGGAATAAATGAGACCGTTGTAAGGTTTGTTAAACTCGATGTTGATGGTCATCATTTCCTTGCCACAGTCCACAGTGATCGCGTGGATATGAGGAGGGTGACGGTCGTCATCATCGTCATCAGGCACAGGCGACGGGGAGCTTTCTGGTATAATAGGCTTTTCTGGTGGTTGTGGTACATAAGAAGGGGTCTCATCACTTGGCGATGGTTGACTAGGTTGATATGACGGGGAAGTAGGCTGGCTAGGTTGATAACTGGGCTCTGAGGGCTGACTCGGTTGGTATCCAGGTTGACTGGGTTGGTAATCTGGTTGACTTGGTGTGAAAGAAGGTTGACTTGGTGTGAAAGAAGGCTGACTGGGTGAATATGGCTGCTCTGGTTGACTAGGTGGGAGATACGGCTGGCTAGGAGTGGGAGATGGCTGACTGGGCTGGTAAGACGGAGACGAGGGTGACGGACCTTCACTGTATGAAGGTGTGGGTCTTGACCCTGATGGTGGATACCCAGTTGGTGGTAGATAGGACGCAGGCTCGAACGGTCTTGGTTTTTCTGGTTTCCCTCCAAAATACTGACGAGCTGAAACATTTTAAGAACAGAATTAGTTTTTGGCTCAATAATTTTGTTACAACTATACTACAAAATAAAGAAAATAAAGTTGCCTTTGTACAATGTATCTGCATTGTACAAAGGCAACTTTATTAAGTGAAAAAAGAAATTTAGTCACTTCTCAGTTCATGCTTTTTTACTTATTGGAACATGGTTATATTATAAATACCCTATCTGTTATTTCTTTATCTAGTATCTTTACTTTTTCCTAATAATACCCTATTCCATTTAACTCTAATTTGCTAATTTGTCTAACCCTCTACCTTCTACTTCTATCTTTCTCTAATACGAGTACCCTGTCCCAAAAGTTTATTGCAGACCTTTCCTATTCCTCTGCTGGTAGACCCCCTGAATCCAACGTAGCAGGTTCGCCACCATTTCATCTGCGTCCGCCTGCTGCTGAGCTGATGAGGCCTCCGCTGGAAACCAGGATACGGTCATTGGCAGTTCAGGATATGCCAACACCTCCGTTAGAAGTTTAGTAGACCTTGACTACTCGAATACCTTGGTAACCAGTCCAATATGTCACATGTTAATGTCACCAGCCCTTTAGATAAGATACAGGTTCTGTAACAAGACCTATTCCTTTGGTGTTTCAACAACAATTTTCCGAAATGACCTTTTGAGTCTGGCACAGTACAATTTACTAAACCATTGGTTCCCAAAATGGGGGGGCGCCCTCTAAGGGAGGCGCAAAGACCTTTAACCGCTTGAGTTCCAGACGGCATTCATTAATGTCATAACAATTGATTATCTATTGTGTCTAGATTCGCGGGCCTTGAAGGATTAAAGGGGAGCACGGGCCATCTGTGTACTTAAGTATAAAAAACCTTCGATCGCTGAGAAAATGCATTCCAGACTGCTCGATACGACCAATAAATAATCTTGACTGGAGGAGGGGGGCGTGGATTTTTCTCTATGGTCGAAACCCGCGCGTCTCAAATAAGTTTGGGAACCAATGTACTAAACGTATCTTACCTAAAACCCAATGCTGATTAAATTTTAATCACTGATGAAGATGAAAGAGATGATGATAGGTTAGAGTTAGAGACACGACGATGATTATTGATGAAAACACCATAATTAATGCTACACATAAATGATCTATCTACAAAAACAACAGGTACAAACACACCAATACCAAAAACATGGGGTTCGTAGACACCATAAACCAGCAACTAGAATTAAATAGACCAAACTAAAAAGAGACATCAGAGGTTAGAAACCTGTAAAAAATATTAGATAAAAACAATTTTAAAGATGGAAAAGGTTAATTACTTACGAAATCTAAGGAATAGGGGTTATCTAACTACGTAAGAACTAACTGAAAGAGCTTAATGGTTTAATTGACAAAATTATTATAATTTTAAGTTATATCATACATATCGAAAATATACACCTAATAAGCGTTCTATTAATGTATTTAGTAACATTAAATTAATTTATAAAAGTATCTAATTACGGTAATAGCTTTACCTACTTGTTATTATATCTGCTGTTGTATTTAAACTAAATTTCTTTTTTTTTTCTTTCATTTTGTGTCAAAGCAAGTGTGCATTGCGTGCTACGTGCATAATATTGTGTCTCTATGTTCATGGATCATTTAATTATTTTAAAAACAGATGCTTTTCATTCACTTTCGTTAATAGTTATCTAACAACGATTCAGTTTCAATACTGGTTTTATTTTCTATTGAAAGAAGTATTAAATTGATTTCACGGATCTTCAATGTTGAATTAATCCTACCGGTTCATTCATAAGATAATTTTTAAAATCGAAAGTCGCAATTCGAAAGTGTAAAACAGTTGAATCTTCATGAATGTATAAAAGAATCGGTAATTATGTGTGTGATTTGCATGTCACTCAAATTACTAGGTGAAGGATTGAATAAGTATTACGTATTTTGAAGAAAGAAATAAGTATTTGAATAGATGTGTAAAATGTTTTTTGTTTTGGTAGAGATTTATAAACCAATTAGTCACATTTTCATCTTTGTGAAAAAGTAAAGCCATGTATTCATTAGGCAACATTTGTTGATAAACACTGTGTATAAACTGTTCATAAACAATGTTTCATAATGTTTCATCATCTCTGTAAACAGTTTATAAACAGTCCATAAACATAGGTGATGAAACATTGTTTATGATACATGTTGCCGTGCTCCTCGCTATGAGTGGAGAGCAAGTGTGGACGGCCAAGTTAGTTTCAGAAACCTGTGTTTATGGTAAACTTGTTTCACACTAGTCATAAACAGTTTATCAACAAATGTTGCCTAATGATTACATGGCTTGTATTAATGCTTTTTCACTATTTTTATGACAGAAACGGTAGCTGCATAAGTAGTAGGTACCTAAGTAACTTATTTATTATCTGTTTAAGACGTTACAGGAATATTGTGTGTGTTAAATATTTACAAGTATTTAGAGAATAAATTCTGATGTAATTTTCTTTAATGTTGTGCTTCAAACTTCCAAATCAAAACGGTGGTGTATTAAGCGTGACGTCATTGTCTACATATGCGGATAAAAAAGATTGAAAGTTACTTTCGTAAGAACAATAGATAAGTAATGTTTGTGTGGTTTTGCTGTCTATAATTTTGTGCTGTTATTTTCAGTTGTGACGTGTTTTCATAGCCCAGCCGACAGTCTAAATATTTGAGTTTCTGTTTTTAATATAAAACTCAAATTATGTCTCTATAAAACAGTTATTTTGTCTATTTAAAATGGTTATTTATTTCCTCATCTATTCCTCAATATTTATATACAGGGTGTTAGGTAAATGGGTATATGAGCCGACACTAGCCCATGTTAACATGGTCATATAAATGGTGTGGTGAAGTCAGAAAATTGATATCTTCATTTTAATTATTTTAATTTTCATACAAATCGGATCTTATAAAATTTATTTATTATGAAAATTAAAAAAATTAAAATGATGATATCAAATTTCTGACTTCACCATACCATTTATATGCCCATGTTAACATGGGCTAGTGTCGGCTCATATACCCATTTACCTAACTCCCTGTATATTGGCCTCTATCCAGCACTTGTTTACTGGCTCTAAAAAGTATTGTTTTACCAATTTTCTTTTAACACAGTGTAAAAAACTTTTTTGATACTGCCAACTGGGCTATCGTAGGAAAAGTGCCGGTGTAAAGTCAACCAACTGTATTGTTAACTGACCTACTTCTTTTTTTGCGTGTTTAGGTTGGCATGGGCATATACTTTGTACAGTGTACGTACCGATTCTATACCTAGGGTTACGGGGTTCTGGAAAAAATATATCGTAATATGAGTACATGAAATCTAGTTTTTATGAAGTAATTTTGATTTTTTACCACGAATAGGTATGATAGATTAGAAGTTAAATTAACAACATAATTATTCACAGTTTCTCATACTATCTAAATAAATCAATAATAATAATGCTACCACCAACTTCCCAAACCCCAAAATAGAGCTTGTAAAATGAAGACTAGATAATGGATTAATCTTGGCATAAATACTCATAATTAATACACTAATTTTCCCGACTGCGCCAGAAGGAGGGTTATTTTCCATTCCAATGACCTTTTGGGTCTCGCAGGATTCGAACCCACGGCCTCAACTGACAGATAAGTCGAAAAACAGCAAAACAATGTTAATTAAAATACAGGATACACAAGTAGGTTAAACACAATGTTCATACATGCAAAGACTATTTTAACTGATGAAAAGAATGAAATTACGCCTTTACCGATGATAGACATCTTCTGTGGTTAGATAAATGCTTTTTTACAACAAATACAAAGTCTGAGTGCTTTTTCTGTAATAACAATAATATTAATATAATTATACATTTAAATATGGATCAGTATAATATTAGCAAATGATAACGTAATATACTCGTAGGTGCGTGTGAATTTTTGTTTAAAAGAAAACATAATTATTTTCATTATGTAAAGTTGAAAGTTGGTTAACCATTATGCATTAATCCTTTGTTTTGTTTTTAAAGTTTACAAGTAAAATTACACAAGTAATAAAATTAACTGTCTTACTCTACATTTTTATAATATTTTGAGTCTTTTGATTTCCTGATTTTATATCATTCTCTTTATTTACTTATTCAACTGTTACTTAAAATGACATTCAATAAATAAATTAAATTTAAAAAAAATACGTAGAGTCGCGTCTCAAACAACATTTTTAAAATAACTTGAAAAAATCTAATTGCTAAAGGTGGGAATCGAACCCACCTTTAATTAATTATAAGAATAGTTATAATATCAAATACTTACGGAACCGTGATTCCGCTGCGCACGCGCAGATTGTCAGCGCGAGAAGCACCGCCACAGCGCACCAGCGCGCCATCTATTGGACAAAAGAAAGAACTATTACATAAATGTCAAGTTAAACGTCAAACGATCATTCTTCTTCTTCCTTGGTCCCTCACTGATGAGGATCGCGACCACAGAAAGTTCAGTTCCTCCACAGACTGCGGTCATAAGCTGTGTGGACCGCACGATGCAATCTTCCGCCCACCGTCTTCCTCACCGCGTCCGTCCATCTCGTCGTCAAACGATCATAGGACTTGGGATAATCGAAAGGATAGAGGATCCTTTATATGCTCAGGGGTCCCTCGGACCCTGACCACCAAACCGTATTGAACTAACTGAAAATATTTCCATCTTCCATGTAATATATTAAATAAAATAGGTTGTAGCACAACATAACCATGGCAACTCTTATCAAAGAATACAGGAGAATTCCCAACAATGTTCAGCAGTTTTCATAATTTACACTTTACCCACAGCTTTTTTTTGCCTAGGGACTTTGAACTACCTAACTACATACAGACTTGGTTTGTGAGACACTAAGCTAAGGTCTTTATTTAAAAAAAAACTCAAAACTCCATAAATTTCTATCATAGATTATGGCCTGTAATTCGTGTACTCGTTAATAAATTAAATTCAACCCATAATATCTTTCAACACAACCGCAGTTAAATTTGATTTGGACCTTAAAGACAGATAAAATAAATTAATTCAATTCCTTATTATTTTAACTAATTGTAGATACAGTAATCTTACATTAAAATAACAAAATCATTAACAAAATGCCTAATTTAACTTCAGATGTTTATCGTCCCTAATTTAACTGCATATTAAATTAGTTCAATTACTGAAACAAAGACGTCAATGTAATCTGTTAGATCTTAACGGCAACCTTAGTTACTAATTTTGGACAAAAACAGCATCGGTATTATCTATTTATCTAGGTCAGTGGTTCTCAAAGAAATGTTTGCCCCACGAGGTGAAAAGATAAAGCTCGTTTCATCCACGAAGACGCGCCCCACCAATTTTTGGTCGAGGTCGCGCGGGGTGCGGGGAATCTGATCCGAGCAATCCGAGCGTCATTATTGTAGTGTGCGTGTGCACTCAAGGATAATTTAGCTTGTACCGGTAACACTCAAACAATAGCGGAAGAATAGTGGGGCGCGTCTTCGTGGATGAAACGATCTATATTATTTAGTCTCGGATTCATTCACCATAATATCATCTCATCAGTCTCTGGCAAATAGAGGTTTTGGCAGATTTACGTAGTATGAGGTAATGTTCTTGTACAATAAATGTTTTTTTTTCGACTAAAACCTTCTATAGTGTGATTTCCAGAATCAAAGATTTTTCACTGCTACTGCTTACTATATTATTTGTGTCTCACTCGAGAATTGAACTCACAACCTCTGAGCCGAGACTCCAATTCTTTAACCAATGGACAGTGAATCATCGGATATTTTTAACGCTCGCGCGTAATTATACAGTGTGTCCGGGCTTGTAGTGATCAAACTTTAATGGCGTAATCTATGGACAATTTTATCGATGAAAATACTTCAAATTTGGGGCTTGACCCATTTGTCGCAAAATTACGAGGATTTAAGTTTTTAATTTTTAGTTTTTACCTCTTCCTTCAAAAACAAGTGAAAACGTGGGTAACTTAACATTAATAAGCAAATATTTGATATCATGCGATATTCAATAAAATTATCTATTAGTAGAAGTAGAAAACGGACACAAGTTTCATACATTTTATGGAAGTAAGAATGGATTGAATTAGAAAAAGACATGATTTTTTTCATTTCTTTTTCACTTATTTTCCAACACAAGAAAAACCAGGTCGTTAAAGTATGTTTTATTTGCATTGTATTATTAGTATTTGAGCTATTTTACAAAATGAATGTAAATTTATTAGTCTACGTCTATTAGTTTCGACGTAATTGTTGAACAAAGGTACCCTTTCCCAGCCGGTTCCATAGCGCTGCTAACATGCGAAAATGCACCGCCTGAAAGAATCACACAACCTATTCCGACGCGCTATGGAACCGGCTGGGAAGGGGTATCTTTGTTCAACAATTACGTCAAATTTAATAGACGTAGACTAATAAATTTACATTCGTTTTGTAGAATAGCTCAAATACTAATAATACAATGCAAATAAAACATACCTTAACGACCTGGTTTTTCTTGTGTTGGAAAATAACTGAAAAAGAAGTGAAAAAAATCATGTCTTTTTCTAATTCAATCCATTCTTACTTCCATAAAATGTATGAAACTTGTGTCCGTTTTCTACTTCTACTAATAGATAATTTTATTGACTATCGCATGATATCAAATATTCGCTTATTAATGTTAAGTTACCCACGTTTTCACTTGTTTTTGAAGGAAGAGGTGAAAACTATAAATTAAAAACTTAAATCCTCGTAATTTTGCGACAAATGGGTCAAGCCCCAAATTTGAAGTATTTTCATCGATAAAATTGTCTATAGATTACGCCATTAAAGTTTGATCACTACAAGCCCGGACACACTGTATATATTTCTGTCACACTTGCACACTCACTGCGGCCGCCCGTCGCACAGGTGTGACAGGAATATAATTATGCGCGAGCGATAAGGATTCTAATTCTACGTGCTCGGCGACCGGACTTTAAAAGACGTGCTATTATGCTCCAAGAAACAAACTTTGGCAACCACTGGCTAACTAACCTTACCGATTTCAACTCCAAAAACAACATGTCAAGGTCCAATTAGCATAGATAAGCCCATTGTGAGCATTTGCAGAAAGACGCGATAAATCAAAGGCATGGGAGTCGAACCCGGGACAATGCACAATCGCTTGCGCAATGATGTGATGATGTACTGAGGTTTGGTGGGGCTTTCCGGGTGATGGAGTTATAGCTTTTTGGGTTAGGTATAGGAAATTGCGAAAGTACATTATGTGAAGACCACACGGGAAAAACAAAGAATGTCAAAAAACTACAATTAAGAGAAAAACAGTTTAAAGGTAGTTTGAAAGTCTATATTTCTTTCATTTTAGACTCTTATGTGAGATATTGAAACAACTTATTACTGTGTTAACATATGCCTTCCTACTTCTAAAACTCGATTTGTTTAAATAAGTTTTAAGTTATGGTCCATAATATAACCGTTTCTTGCCATGGACAAACAAACACAAATTGAACTATTACAGTTCACCACGACGTTTTTACCCAATTCTGATTTTTGAAATAGAATGTTTCCCTAAAAAGCTAACAGATGGCATTAAAGAAAGAAAGAAAGAAAGAAAAAATGTTTATTTGGTACTAAAAAGTAAGTTTCACAAAAAAGTTGACATTCATTGTTTTTCCCGTGTGGTCTTCATGTAATAGAACCTTTATTCCCATCCACCCCCTTCGAGTTTGCCTCCGGGGAGGCAGGCCTCCCACTAGGTGGACCAACGATCTGGTGAAGGTCGCGGGAGGTGCCTGGATGCGGGCAGCAAAGGACCGTTCGTTATGGAAATCCTTGGGGGAGGCCTTTGTCTAGAAGTGGACGTCATTTGACTGAAACGAAGGAACGAACGAACCATTATGTCATACTGAAATCCTCGCAAAGCCGCAAGCAAAAGCTAGTATAAGTGTAGATGTGTATTTTCGTCACTTTCCCAACAAAGCATACATTATCTCCACACTCCTTGAACTGCGACCCGTTTTGCCATAAACGTTTACAATAGTATGTAAAATGTAACATATAACATTACAATGGCATGCTATAACATTACATAGTTGCTAACACTCGCGTGTCTGCGCTTGTGATGTACGATTTGTAGTAATTGTTTGTTTAGTTAGTCGATTGTGAAATTACTGTGAAATATATTATTATGTATTTGGAAAGCAGGTGACTGGATCAGTTAGACAAACAAAGAGATGTGTTATTTCGTCATCACAATTATGACGTCATTCCACATTATCTTCAAAAGTCCATTTCTTCTTATAAGTAGAGATCAATGTGAAATTAATATCAAAAAATTGGCCAAGTGCGTGTCGTACCACGCGCAGTGTAGGGTTCCGTTAGTTGTCCGTCGTTACCACAATATATTTCAGAAGCAAGCAATTTCTTCATCTAAAGTCACTTTTAATATTTTCTTCTAATTAATTTTTATTAGGTAAGAAATTTTATAATACATGAGTTAAACGATTATTACTCTTAAACTAACTGATCTATCTTAGCCGTTATAGTTTTCCTTCAAAGTTCATAAAAAGCACTATTATTATGATTTTTTCCAGACGGGGGGACGAACAGACAGACATATCGAAACTATAAGGGTTCCTTGTCAGGACTACGGAACCCTAAAAAGGTAATTTGAGTGACGAATACTTACAAGAAAGGACTATTTTGCGAAATTCTTTCTTGTAGGTTACAATACAACAGTTAGTAATACAACAGTTGGAAAACTTGAAAATCAGCAGCAGACGCTTTTCCCTTACAAGTACCTAACCTCTTGTAAAAGTCAGGCACTGAAATTTCGTAACCTCTAATGCAGGTTTTTCAACCTGTGGGTCGCGACCCCCTGGGAGGTCGCGAAGCCTTTATAGGGGGGTCGCGAGAGGTCGTAAAAACTACCTCAGTAAAAAAACAGTAAAGTTTTAAAGATAAATTTATCAAAAATCTAATTATGAAAATGCGTAAATGTTGTATGAAAAAAAAGCGAGCGGTCGGGGGGTCGCGAAAAATTTGTTCATGCTAGGGGGGTCGTGTCATGAAAATTGTTGAAAAACAATGAATAAAGCTCTGCAATTTTTTTGTCGTAAGAATAAAAAGCAAATACAAAGTCAACACTTTTTACTGAAAACAATGCACATTCACACTGAATGTGTATTTTCACCAAAACAGTTATGAATGGGAAAATCCAAACAAGGAACAAGTGGAAAACCAAACATTTTCTAAATCTCATAACTCTATTGCATAAAAGGTATTAAATGCACATTGAAGTAAACATTTCAGCACCTTATGTAGTGTTACAATAGGTGCAATTTTTCTTCTAAAATGTATTTTA